AGTCGCCGACGTCGACATTAAGCTTCACAGACACAATTATACCCAACTTTGGACTTATCAATCAAAGCTTATTACTTCCTTCTTCCAACGCCGGAGGGGACAGTGGAATAATCATGAAAGAAGCGAGTGATGGTGCGTCATATTGCGAAAACTCTGTGGGAAGCTTGATGAGAGACGACGACATTATGGTGGCCGTGGAAGGATTCAGATCAAGAGGGTATAACTGTAACAATTCCATGGCAGGCCTGCAAAATGACGATGAGTTGGCGTATGGATTCCATGAGATCTCACCACAACAAAACCTGGGAGTCTTAAATATCGGGGAAGAAGGAAGCACCAACTTTGAGGAGAAGCATTATTGGGAAACCATACTCAACTTGGTCAATGATTTTCCCTGATCATCACCTGCAATTTCCCTGTGTCATGTGACGCATAACGATGGAGCTGTTTTGTTAATTAAACTAGACTCGCTCTGAATTAGTAATCAATAAAGGCACAAAAATATTAGTATCGATCATGATGTCATACCATGCATGTTTTATGCAGAATTTCTCCTTAAATACTTTCCCTAGTTTACTTATCCTTTTGGCTATTTAAATCATTACTATTATTATAGATGACAATTAATCTGTCGTTTTAAGTGGAGGGTTCAATTAGTTGAGTGAATCAGGTGACTTATCTGAATCAAAGCTTCATCAGCTATAGGTTTAGCTTTCTGATAAAATGATGTGTTTTTATTTTATAGTATAGCGTTGTGAAATATGAATAATGTGTAAATATATTACATGAACCGGCCGTAGCATCTCGTTTGTATAAGCCCTTTAGAATGAAAGATGAGGAACTCAGGGGGAAGTTAAGAAGTTTGGTAGAATCCTTTATGGCGTCCCTATATCTGTGTTGTGTAATATGATTGTCGGCCTAGCATATATGTGGGAACATTGCTCATTTTTTGAACTGATGGACATTGCTCAGTTGAGAGAAAGGCGTACGCCAATTGAGGATTATATACGCATACACACACACACATATATATATTGAGTAAGATTCTGCTGACATACCAATTCAATCAATTTCTCTGATGTTTCATCAGAGCTTATTTATTTTGGCTAGGCACGGAGAATCCTCAAGAGACGGGAGGCGACCGATATGGCAATAACAAGGAATCAAAGCCCTCGCTTGTTTTAATTGCAAGAGATCAGAGAAAAGGGCTCTGATCGATGGACAGACAGTGGAGAAGACAAACACAAACGCATAGGGCACAGAATGAAATGATGTGAATTATGAGCAGAATAGTAATTCATGGGAAAATGGTAGAGAAGAGGTATAAATTAACGAGGTAAGGTTTGTCTGATTACAACTATATATAGAAGATTTGAGGAATATAAATGAAACCCACTTAAATTCTACCTCAAATGTTGCAGAGAATATATAGTTCGTGAAGTAGCAAGAAAGCATTCCTAAGGGCAGATTTAAGAATTATCGGTTCCAATTGAGGTAGCTCTGTCAAAGGCGTTTTATTTATTTATACAAACTAGAATTTGAGACCTCGTTCTTAAGCGGCTAAAATTCCTTCACTAGGACCAATGCCTGCTGGTATTCCCTCTTGTAATATAGATCAAAAGAGATTGCTAAAAACAAGGTGCGTGCATATGTGCGTACATAAAGAGCATAAGTAAATCTTATATATAGTTTCAGTCCTTTTGTGTAACTGCTTTTTTCTGGTTTACATGTATGACTGCATGATTAAAAGAAGCTTGACCATTGTAGATCTTTCTCAACTTCTTAAGTTAAATCAATATATTTGTATTAGTTCCTGCATACTTTCATTTTAATAGAAAAGTACTACCTCCGATCCTAAATATAAGAGCTAGTTGACTAATTTGATGAGATTAAAAAAATAAGTTAAGTAAGTTATTTATAATAAACAGATATTATCTTTTTTAAAATATTCTTACTAATAAAGTGTACTGGCTAAAAATACTATTATTAGAAGGACTATGTTGAAAAAATACATAAATATAAGAAAGAAAATGTATTAAAGTCTTATATTTATGACCAAAATAAAAGTCAAACGAAGTCTTATATTAAGGACGGGAAGTAGTATAAGAACTAGTTGATTAATTTGATTATATTAAGAAAATTAGTTAAGTTAGTTATCTGTAATAAATAGGTGTTGCCTTTCCTAAAATACCCTTACTAATCAAATGTCATTTAATGAAATATTCAGCATGTGCAACTACTATAAGGACTATCCTAAAAAAATGAATAAGTATAAGATATAAAGTCGATTGGAATCTTTTATTTAAAATCAAATTGAAAGTCAAACTAATTTTTATATTAATGACATAAGGTAGTATGTCGTAAAAATAAATCCAGGGGTAACAAAATCTTTTCATCCTTAATTACACACGTTTATTTTAATACGCTATCACTGAGGAATCGGCCACATACAAGGGCAAACATATATATTGAATGCCAGGGCACACGTACGTGACGATTAAACTGTTTTATTAATGCTTACGTTTATTGACACAAACTATATGTCATCTTCCATTATAAATCTTTTTATAATTTTTCAACGAACTCACTTCAATTTCACATCCAACTCGCTAAGTTAATCCGCAGCGTGTGTGAATATTATCAAACCATGCAAGCGGCCCTGTCGCTTTTTCCTTGTGCATGTATACAGTATATATATGTATATTAGTCTGTCTCCCAAGTATAATAATTTTTTCTCCAGCCATCTCTCTTGAAGCACATATTTTGGGGGGGGGGGGTCATTGATGAGGTAATGATCAGATAGGGTATATATGGAGAAACCAATTAATACATATTTATTATTATAGATGATTAACTTAATTAAATTTTTTAATATCCATAAATTAGTTATCTATAGCTCTCTTGTTTAGGATTGGAGTAGTGTATATATCAGTTTAGGTTTTTATCTTTAACGTTAATTAATAAATAATGTTTGAAAAACAAGGTGATGATTAAGAAAAGAAATTCTGCATAACGTATAAAAAACATAAAAATAATAAAAGAATGCAATTACAATTATATAACGTAAAAACAATAAAAGAATGCAATTAAAAGAAAGCATCACATATATGCTTTAATATATTTTTCCCATTAATTCACCTAGACTTTTTTGTTTCTCCATCTCCAGGGTTTTTATGGTTGGTAAATACCCCTCCATTCCTATTTATAAATCACTTTTAGCATTTTTTATTGAAATTAAAAAAACCTTAAACCTCATTAATTTTACCTTAAAGTTTAATAATTTTTTAACATTACCCTTATTTAATACTCCTTCCATTCCTGATTATAAAATCCAAACAATAAAATTGTGTGGTTTAAGAAAATTATTAAAATTAGCTAAAACTAAAAAACACATAGGAAATGTACCCTCCCCTCAAAATATGACCTTATTATATAAGAGCAGTACTGAAATATTGGTAGAATTCTAGTGCGTGGGAGTCACTTGGAGGAGAATGGATAACTAAATTAAAATTCGATTCCTTCATATATATATATATATATTGTCGTTTTAGTGAACATTATTTTTTTGCCTAGTCCTCTTAACAATGTTGGCTCCTACGGGAAGAAAAGTTTGAAGTTTATGAGACAGTACATGCATACGCAAGTGAAAGAGAAAAACTTCAGGCTTGTTTTATATGGCACGCATTTACTCAAGCATTAAACTGAAGCTCTGTAAATTTGATGAGAAAAGTAAACACAGAGACGTAAATATGTTTGATTGGAACCACATGCTTGTTATCAATACAATTAATTCTGATTTCCCAATTTTGTACGGGTTTTTATATTCATTGTATATATCTACAAGCCAGGCTTTAGATATACATATTCAGTTCAAAATAATAAGAACACACACAAACAGAGGAAACATAAAGAGCTATGCAGAGCTAGTACAGTTATCATATATATATATATATGTAGTAATTAATAACGCAGTTAAGCTTATAAAGCTACTTATCTTTACCAGTAATATTCAAGTGATCATCATGCTATATCTCTTTAAATTGTTCGTATTGTATCGTAAAATAAATTCAAACGATAATACGTACTGAAGCTTTACAAAAGATGATATATATATATATATATAGTGTGTGCAAATATAAAACTTATAAGGGAAATTAGTGTATCATATATATATATATATATTAAATATTCATATCACTGAGACAGATTAATCTTTTACTTTGTTCCTTAATTTTCCTTTTTTGCATGATTCTTTCCAATCTATAAGACGCTGAACAAGTACATTTCTTGACTTTCTTGATATTGTCACCCACGTACATTCATTTCTTATGATTATTTATTTGGCAGTACTGAGGCGAGTACTTCTTTGATTAGATCGACCACATGCATGCTTTTAAAAGTTCAAATTAAAATTCAAAAAGTTACAAGGGCACTAGCTCTTCTGAGTAAGGTTATCATAGGGATGCCCCAGACCATGTAAAAGAGACAAAACCATGAACTGCTATATAACACATATGTATGCCAAAATTATAAGATATGAAACCTTACTAAGAAATGTAGATGTACAATAATGTTGTCTTTTAAATATGAGTATGGTGAATCATCAGTCAGACTGGTCCTTTTTCTTCGGTCTAATATGATCATTATAAACATAATTCATTACATCATATATATATATGGAAGATCTGCTATTTATAACTTGGATCTTTCTTCTGCATCTTTTCAACTTGCTTCAGCTCCATCTCTTGTCTCTTCTTGTCTTCTGTGTTCTGTCAATCCAACTCTTTCCTCCCTCTGTCCTTCTCTTCAGCATTTTTCAGAGACCACATTTATATATACGATCCATGTTTATGTAACCTCAATCGTCGCTGCCAGTTGCTCCCTTTCGACTTAGCTGATCGATCTGTTTCTTATTAGCTTGCTCCGCCTCTGGTGTTTATATATAGTTCTACTTCTCTCGCTCTCTCCGTGCAGCAAGCATTTCCCAGGTGGAAATCAAAATGGTGAAGTCGTCGCGAGGGGAGAAGGCAACCTTAAGGAAAGGACCATGGACTCCTGAGGAAGACCAGAAGCTCATGGCTTACATTCAACAACATGGCCATGGAAATTGGTCTTCCTTGCCTGCAAAAGCTGGTACGTGTAATCCCGCGACTTCAAATAACTCCACTATATTATGATATCTTGTTTCATCCGCAGACACGCATGTATGTATAACTTAGGAAAGAGGAATGAATTAAGTGTTTTTCATGTTTTCGACGACCAAACAAGGACTCCGAAGATGTGGGAAGAGCTGCAGACTGAGATGGACTAATTACCTAAGACCTGACATCAAACGAGGCAACTTCAGCTCGCAAGAAGACCAAACCATTATTCAACTTCATGCTCTTCTGGGAAACAGGTATGTCTCAAAACTCTTGTTAACAAATTCATGTGTTTGGGTTGATGATTGCTCAGCTGGTCAACCATAATGATTCCATTCGATCTAGAGTTTTCCTTTAAAGAAAATTAAACATGACATGATGTTTCCCTACACATGCGCGCACAACTTTTTATAAATATTATTCCCGAATCGTTTTTTGATGTTTATATTGCACGTACAAGATGGTCGGCTATAGCACTTCATTTGCCAAAAAGAACAGACAATGAGATCAAGAACCACTGGAACACCCACCTCAAGAAGAGGCTCACCAGAATGGGAATAGACCCCACCACTCACAAACCCATAAACGACGCCGTACACGGCCAGTCCAAGGACGCAGCCAACATCAACCACATGGCTCAGTGGGAGACTGCTCGGCTCCAAGCCGAATCCAGACTGGTCAGAGAATCCAAGCTTCGGCTCCAGATCAACGAGCTTATCGGCTCCTTCTGTTCCCAAGCTTCTCCCACTCGACTCGTGCTCAACAAGATCACACGTCTGCCGTCACCACCTCCCTGCCTCAACGTCCTCAGTGCATGGCAGAATTCATGGTCGCCGACGTCGCAGTCTCCAACTCCGGCAACTACTGCTGATAACATCCCCAAAATGCATAGCATGTATGCCATGATGCTCGCCACCGAGGACGACCTCAAGTCGCCGACGTCGACGTTAAGCTTCCCAGACACCATTTTCCTCAGCTCCAACACTAGTGCTGATAGTAATATGACCAACTTTGGACTTATCAATCAAAGCTTATTACTTCCTTATTCTTCCAACGCCGGAGGGGACAGTGCAATAATCATGAAAGAAGCGAGTGATGGTGCGTCATATTGGGAAAACTCAGTGGGAAGCTTGATGAGAGACGACGACATTATGGTGGCCGTGGAAGGATTCAGATCAAGAGGTTATAACTGTAATAATTCCATGGCAGGCCTGCACAATGACGGTGTGTTGGCGTATGGATTCAATGAGATCTCACCACAACAAAACCTGGGAGTCTTAAACGTCGGAGAAGAAGGAAGCACCAACTTTGAGGAGAAGCATTATTGGGAAACCATACTCAACTTGGTCAATGATTTTCCCTGATCACCTGCAATTTCCCTGTGTCATGTGACGCATAAATGATGGAGCTGTTTTGTTAATTAAACTAGATTCGCTTTGAATTAGCAGTAATCAATAAAGGCACAAAAATATTAGTATCGATCATGATGTCATACCATGCATGTTTTATGCAGAATTTCTCCTTAAATGCTTTCCTTAGTTTACTAACCCTTTTGACTATATAAATCATTACTATTATTATAAATGACAATTAATCTGTCGTTTTAAGTGGAGGGTTTAATTAGTTGAGTGAATCACTTGACTTATCTGAATCAAAGCTTTATCAGCTATAGGTTTAGCTTTCTGATGAAATGATGTGTTTTTATTTTTGGCCAAAACACGCTTAACCTCCCTTAGTTTTAGCTCTCTTGGATATAATCTCCCTCATCTTTAAAATTTTAAAAATCACACCTTTAACTTTTGTAATTTGACATTTAACCTCCTTATCGTTAAATGGCTGTTAAATCTAACAGTTTAGATGCCACATCAAATTATTCTAAATTATATGGTAGATGACATGTAATTTTTATTACTTTATTTATTTATCTTGGCTTAAAAATCATAATTACACTAAAGGATGCTTTTGTGATTCTACCCATTATAATCCCTAATTCCCTGTCTCATTATCGTCCTGTTCTTCCGGTCTCTCAGCAAGTCGCAAGTCCTCCCCTTTTCAACGTTTTATTTATCTTCCCCATTCCAAAATCATGCTCATCACATTCTTCCTTTAAATCTGAACCCTCACGGGTGTCTTCTAAGTTGGTCATCGTCTAATTCATTGATGCTTCCCATCTCATCACTTTCATCATAGTCAGAACGTACATCTCCGTGATCTCCGAGTTCCCTCCAATCAAGGATGACGTTGTTTACATGTGGTTCACTTTGATCTTCTTTTGCCACACCGTTCTTCTCTTCTCGAATCATTTGTTATTCCTCTTGAGGTGTTGGAAAATCTTCATATTTGCGGTTGCCGCATTTGTACAAAAATCCCGCCATTTTGCAGATTATGAGAGAATTGTTTCAGGGATGATTGAGCACAATAACAAGATCCTGAAATTAGAAGTATGAAAAATTGGTATTACTAGGATTTAAGAAGATCACAAAAGCTGGAATGCACAAGAATAAATTTTTGAATGAAGATCATGGCAAGAAGATGAATCGAGTTGATAGGGTAGGGAACTAGGGATGACTTAAGCGAGTGAAACTGGGATAAAGACGATGCGAATTATTAATGATTACTATTCTTAGAATTTTGAATTACAAAACTGCCCTTCAGTTTTAAGCCAAAATAAATAAATAAAAAAAGTAATGAAAATTACATATCATTTGCCACATAATTTAAAACATACAATTTGATGTGGCATTTACTCCGTTAGATTTAATGGTCATTTTAACAATAGGGGATTAAAAGTCAAATTATGAAAGTTGAATGTGTGATTTTTAAACTTTTAAAGATGAGAAGGTTATACGCAAAAAGGCTAAAGTTAAGGGGGTTATGTATAATTTGGCCTTTATTTTATAGTATAGCTTTATAAAATATGAATGATGTCTAAATATATTACATGAACCGGCCGTAGCTTCTATTTTAAGCATACACACACACACATGTATATATAAGCCCTTGAGAATGAAAGATAAGGAAAGTTTGGTAGAATCCTTTATGGCGTCTGCATATATGTGTTGTATAATATTATTGTCGGCCTCGCATATATGGGGGAACATTGCTCATTTTTTGAACTGATGGACATTGCTCAGTTGAGAGAAAGACGTACGCCAATTTTTTTTTTTTTACCAGCAAAGACGTACGCCAATTGAGGACTCTCTCTCTCTCTCTCTCTATATATATATATATAGTAAGATTCTGCTGACACACCAATTCAATCAATTTCTCTGATGTTTCATCAGAGCTTATTTATTTTTGGGTAGGCACGGAGAATCCTCAAGAGACGGGAGGCGATCGATATGGTAATAATGAGGAATCAAAGCCCCCCTTTGTTTTAATTGCAAGAGAAAAGGGTTCTGATCGATGGACAGGCAATAGAAAAGACAAACAAACACGCAAAGGGCACTGAATGAAATGATGTGAATTGTGTGCAGAACGGTAAATCGTGGCAAAATGGGAGAGAAGAGGTACAAATTAGCGAGGTAAGGTTTGTCTGATTACAACTATAGAAGATTTGAGGAATATAAATGAAACCCACTTAAATTCTAAGAGACTCGAATGTTGCAGAGAATATATACTTCGCAAAGTGGCAAGAAAGCATTCCCAAGGGCAGATTTAAGTATTATCGGTTCCAATTGAGGGTAGCTCTGTCAAAGGCATTTTATTTATTTATACAAACTTGAATTTGAGGCGTCATTCTTAAAGCTGCTGAAATTCCTTCACTAGGACCAACGCCTGCCGGTATTCCCTCTTATAATATACTATTTCCAGTTCTGAATATAACAACTAGTTGACTAATTTAAAGAGATAAAAAAATAAGTTAAATTAGTTATTTGTAATAAATAGGTATTGTCTTTTCTAAAATGTTTTTATTAATCAAGTATGTTGGTTAGAACTATGATTATTAGAAAGACTACCTTAAAAAAAATTACATAAATATGAGAGACAAAATAAATTGGGGTCTTATAATTAGAACCAAAATAAAAGTCAAATAAGGTCTTATATTAAGGAGCAGAGGTAGTAGATCCAAAAAGATTGCTTTAAAAAAAAAGTGTGTGCATGTGTGTGTACATAAAATGCATGAGTAAATCTTATACTACCTCCGGTCCTAATTATAAGACCCAGTTGACTTATTTGAAGAGATTAAGGAAGTAAGTTAAGTTAGTTATTTGTAATAAATAAGTGTTATTATTCCTAAAATATCCTTGCTAATTAAGTGTATTGGCTAGAACTATCATTATTAGAAGGACTATCTTGGAAAAAAAATGTATAAATATGAGAGACAAAATGGATTGGGGTCTTATAATTAGGACCAAACAAAAAGTCAAACGGGATATTATATTAAGGACCGGAGGTAGTATATAGTTTTAATCCCTTTGTGTAACTGTTTTTTTTTTTCCCTGGTTTTCTTGTATGACTGCATGATTAAAAGAAGCTTGATCTATGTAGATCTTTCTCAACTTCTTAAATTAAATCATTATATTTGTATTAGTTATGCATACTTTCATTTTAATAGAAAAGTATTAGCTTCACTCCTTAATATAAGAACGAGTTGACTAATCTGAGTAGATTAAGAAAATTAGTTAAGTTAGTCACTTGCAATAAATAGATGTTATCTTTTTTAAAATACCCTTACTAATCAAATGTCATTTAATAAAATCTTTTTATCCTTATACATGTGTTTTTTTAATACGCTATCTCTGAGGAATTGGGCACATACAAGGGCAAACATGTGGAATGCCGGGGCACACGTACGTGATAATTACGCTGTTTTTTTAATGCTTAGATTTATTGACATAAACTATATGTCATCTTCCATTATAAATCTTTTTATAATTTTGCAACGAACTCACTTCAATTGCACATCCAACTTGCGCAATTGCTAAGTTAATCCTCAGCGTGTGTTAATATTATCACCCCATGCAAGGGGCCCTCTTGCTTTTTCCTCGTGGATATATATATACTACACACACACACACACAGAGTATATATATTAATCTGTCTCCCAAGTTTAATAATTTTTTCTCCAGCCATCTCTCTTGAAGAATATATTTGGCCCGGGGGGGTCATTGATGAGGTAATCAGATAGGGTATATATGGGGAAACCAATTAATACATATTTATTATTATAGATGATTAACTTAATTAATTTTTTTTAATATCCATAAATTAGTTATCTGTAGCTCTCTTATTTAGGATTGGAGGTAGTGTATATATTAGTTTAGGTTTTTATCTTTAACATTAATTAATAAATAATGTTTGAAAAAAAGAGAGTTGATGATTAAGAAAAGAAATTATGCATAACGGTATAAAAAACATAAAAATAATAAAAGAATGCAATTATAATTATATGCATATTATATACATCATAATAGAAGACAGTTTCATTATTGAAATGCTAACAATTGATTTTCTTTGGCCTAAGCCATTCAGTTTATGGGACTCTATAAAGCAACAACACTCATACACACACAACACACACTAGTACACTACCTCCAGTTCTTAATATAATATCTTATTTGACTTTTATTTTGGTTTTAAATATAAGACTCTAATCTACTTTGTCTCTCATACTTATGTATTTTTTCCTAAGGTAATCCTTCTAATAATGGTAGTTCTAGCCAATACACTTGATTAACAAAGATATTTTAGAAAAGACAATACCTATTTGTTATAAATAACTAACTTAACTTATTTTTTTAATCTTTCCAAACTAATTAACTAACTCTTATAACTAAGACCAGAGCCAGTATATCATTGTATCAATGTAGAACTCTATATGGGTTGGAAGATCTCCAGGATGATGTCCACTTTCTTTTTTTAATCGCTTTCAAAACATACACTTCGTTTTAATTTTACCATATAATTTAAGACATGTATATATTATTTGCCTGTATTTGCCGGCCACTTCCTGAAAAACAGAAGCCCACTTCTTCCATCCTCATCAAGCGAGATGAACAATGGAAAGAGAAAGCTAGCCTGTCTCTTACGGTATATAAACAAATCGATCAAAATCACTTCAATAAATAATCAAAATGCATCATTGTATGTACGTTATGATGCTCGCCACCAACGCCCCCGACGTCGGCGTACGCTGAGCTTCCCCAGCTCCGACGTGACCGGTAGAAATTTCAACTTTGGTCTTAGCAATCAAAATGCTTACTTTCTTCTTCCTCCACTACCATCGCGGACAATAATGAAGCATGGGGAAACATAACGTGCGAAGCTCGTGGGAGACGACGATATTATGGCGGTGGTGGGAGCATGAGGAGGAAGAGGCTATAACGAGAACTTTACTGACACATGGAAGGCCTTCAAAAGGACGATGATGTGATAGTTGAGAATTCACCGCCAGAAATTCAACATGGGAATCTTCAACGCCAGTTTTTAGGAGAAGCATTATTGGAACACCATATTTGTCATAGAGGTTGAGAGATGACATGATTTATCATTCATATTTGTGAATAATTTACAATAGTTTGGTATTCAAATGTAATCTTCTCGTATTATTTATTATTAGCCACTTTCAGTATTTTTCACATCAATAAAAAAAATTTAAACTATATTAATTTTTTATTAAAATATAATAACTTTTTAACTTTGTCTCTATTTAATATATTCATCTTTAAAAAACTATTTATACTATAATAAATAAAAAATAGTACATTCATATTAAAAGTTTAATAAAGTGACTTGTAAAAAGAAAAAAAAACTCCACTCTTTCTATCTTATAAATAGGATGAGAGGAGTATTCTCTGTGGTTTTTTTTAGTATAATAAGACATCAATTATGTATTTCCTCTTAATATTTCTAATTCTTAGATAGATGCATTAGATATTTTTAACTTAATTATAGATTTACTTTTTAAGTTCATTTTTTCTAAGGGGCCCCTGCAAATGTCATGGACAAGGATAGGAAATCGGAAAAGGTAGTTCGAACTCATCTTTAATTAGATTATCTTTGTGTGGTTTCTTAAATATAAGCTTCCCTTGGGCAGAGATAGAAGAGTGGTGTCAGAACAACGTGTAGGAGTAGGTTCAACTTTATATGAAAGTTATGAAGTTTGGTTGAATCTTTTAAAGATTGTTGACATATACATACGTGCTATTCATTTACGTACGGTATTGTTTAATTGAGCGCATTAGATTCAATTTGAGGATAAGATGGCGTCCTTCCCACCCCCGGGGCCTCTTTTTTTTTGGCTTTGTTTTTCATACATTGACGCTGGTGACTGCGCACCAGGGAAGGAGTTCCAATCAAATACTTTTCTGTTTCTTCCATAATTTCTGGATTTCGTAATATTTTTTTCACTATTTTGTTGGAAAAATGGAGAATAAATCAGTCATTATTAAAAATTTAATTAACAAATAGGATTTAAAGACTTTGTGTAACTTATCTTCCTTTGTATGCAATAATCTTACTTTGTGCGATCTGCAACTTAAGTTCTTTTTGTGCAAATAAAATTCTTTTATATGCAAGTCATCTTTACTATGTGTAAATTAATTCCTTATATCCAAATAACGTTTTGTGTAAATCATCTTCTCTTTGTACAACTTAATTTCCTTTGAGTGCAACTAATATTTCCTTGTGTAATTAATCATCTTAAGGACCATTTGCTAATTAAATTTGTAATGAGGGATTTATCCCAATTTTTTCTAGTTTGGTTCCTCTATTCTCGATTTATTTAAATTAGCATTTAATGTTAATTTTATATTAGCCACGGATTTAGTATAAAAACAAGAGAATATGACAGTGATTTAAGTAAAAGCCATTAGTAGCACCTAGTATATATTTTAAACTAATTTTTTTGGTGCATTGTTGTTCTTAAAGTAATTTTCTCAACAATAATAAGTGTCATAAACTTAGGATGCCAGTCTTATTGAATAAATATGTTAGTACACACAAAAAAATTATTTTAGGATGCTAGGTATTAACGAAACATAATTTAGGATGCTAAATACACTAAAACTTAGGAGGTGTAAGGTTTTCCTTGAAAGTGCCTTTTAAAAATATTTTCATGTAAGCCAAGATAAAACTCTTCTCACATACTTTGTATTTCATAAAATCATTTTTAAAACTATAGTTTGGTTTTTATCAAAACACTTCCTTAGCTTAGAATACTAAATGTTATTTAAAAGTATTTTAGGGCAGTGAGTACTACTTAGCCCAATCAACAATTTAGTTACAATCCTTAATATTAGAGCTAGTTTGACATTCAATTTGGTTCTAAATATAAGACCTCAATTCATTTTGTTTCTCACATTTATTCTTTTTTTTTAAAGGTAGTCCTTGTAGTAATTGCATATTTTAAAGATTTTATCAAATGGTGATTTTAACTAAGGCACATGATTAGCAAGGATATTTTAGGGAAGACAACACTTATTTATTATAAATAACTAACTTAACTAATTTTCTTAATATAATCAAATTAATTAAATTAAAATAATTCTTATATTAAGGATTGGACGGAATAAATGGCCTTAGTGGGTGGCTTCCATGTGTAGTAGTAATCTCTTCCTCTGAACTCATTTGATGGGCAGATGCAAGTAATTAAGTTAAAAGCGTCGCTACGAAACCAATACTCCACCAGCTTGGAGTTTTAACAATCTTAAGGCAAGAGTTTTTTTTTTGTACAAAAATTTTAAAAAAAGGGTCGGGCTCACCCGGGACCCAAGGACAGAAAAATTAACTTATGATCCACTAAGACCTGTCTCCTATAGGCATAGGAACATGACAACTAAGTTTTTTTTTTTTTAAAGTCCAATAAGTAGGAATTTTTCAGCTTTAATAAGCCGTGAATATGCATCCCCAACAGGAACGAGGAACGAGGGGTTTTTAAGGTAAGAGTTTTTTTTTTTTTGGTACAAGGCAAGAGTTGATTGCATATTTACGATGTTATGACTCTTACATCTAGGAGGCCGATGAATTATTGGGCCAGCACATGCAGCCTTTCAAGTACAAAGTTGACCCATAAATGAAAGGGGGATTATTCTGGTCATGAGGGCTGTAATATATACATTTATCAATCCACATCCAAAATAATTTTTGCAATAAGCACTTTAGTCTCACTAAATTGGGATTTACAGTTGGAAAGCAATATGCTCATACTCTCACGAAACATAGCCCATCATCACAACTTCTGAAGCGTGAAAGCCACAAAGTACACATATGAATCGTATAAAAATAAAATGGACTTATAATGTATAGCACTAATTTCTTGTCACGCTTCATTTTACTTAGATATACTTTAGCGTGAAAGCCAACAGGAGGAGTTAGGAGAGGGCTACCCACTGAAGATTTTGATCGGATGGGCTAACCAGCTGGAGGTTGAGTAGGGCGCCGTAATGTGGAGCTGTTGGGGAATAGGCTCTTGGGGGCTGCATTATCATGAGCCCCATGCATATTAGAAAGATTACCTTAAGCAGGGGCTTTTATGAGGCCTTAAGCACTTCAGCTCCAACAATTAGCTTTTGGAGTGTGATTCCTTCATGGACTTATGCTCATTACATATATTATTTTAAAAAATTGTGGGCATCTGAATTTTAATATCACTTTCAATCCTAAATATAAAATCTAGTTTATAATAAATTTTAAATATAAGATAAAATTTGCAGCGTAAGCATCCGACGTAATATTCAATAAATACTCCTCCACTTTCCTAAACCGTGTGTGTAACTTTTAAAGGCAATACCTAAGTATTATTCCAAGTCTAATTCCTTAATAAAGAATAACATTCGGTTTTTACTTCTGAAAAACAAGCATGTTGACTTTTTCAATTTTCCAAAAGGTTATTCTCATATTAACTTTATTAAAAAGTTGATCACATAATACACTTGAAAAACTGTCACTCCTCTCTTTTCTGGCAAATTGCCTAACCAAATAGCTAAGATTGATCATACTACAAAATTGAGTTAAATCGAGTTAAATATCATCATGTCTGTCAACTAACTTGAGGCCCCAGCTCATATCTTCACAATGCCTCACATGAGGAACAAGATTGCCAGGATCAGCCCCCGTCTTTGCCTTGCAATCATAATTTGGTGGGGCATGAAAACATGGCTCCATTGAAATGACACGACCACAGGGTGGATCTGGTACAGTGCGATTCTCTGGTTTGAAGAGAATCAATGGCTTCAACCCTCCAAGGCCCTGGGCCACATACCCAAACGTTGACCATGCACTTGTGATTAAAACATCTGTTAGACTCAGAAGGTACATTTCAGCCCATGCCTTTCTATCGTGTGATTGCTTCTCTGTCTGCTGATATTCTTCATGGCTTGGCTGATAAATCCCAATCAAATCTCCAGTCACTGTGGGGTGTTCCCAATACATGTTTCTCAGATTCTCAAAGTACCCAGAACTTAAAGATGTCATCAAAATAGCTTTTGATTTTGGTTTTACTGATGGATCGGCAGAAGATTCTTGCTGATCAACTTCAGGCAGCAGATTCTGCTTCAATGTACAGGCCAGGATTTGGTCCATTACATGCTGATATGGCCCTGAGGAAGATTCAAAGACTCGAATCTGTATACCGATTGTCTCATCTGCTTTTGCTAAGTAGGTCCAATAATATCTAGTGATTAGGCCCCAAACTTGGTTACTGGGGTGAAAAAGATACCTACTCAGGTGGTGGAAAACAGTTGCTTTGTCGGGGAATAATCTACTTAGTTCTTGATCAAAAGAAGGGGACAAGAAGAGTGATGGAACAAAGTAGTTGTCAGATTTCATAATTAACCAAGGAACTCTGTTCATGGGTGTTTGGTGTTGATCACAGAATATAAGTCTATCATGGTCATCATAATCATGAACCAGATGAAGATATAAATATGAGGGAAACAATTCAGATGAAGCGTTTAGTTTGTTTCTCTTGAGCATGTTTCCATAAGAATTCGGAGTCTTCTGATTAAACTTATCAAACCTGCGTTTAAGAGGAAAATTAGTGGGTAGCAACCACGAGGTTTCTGGAAATGGCTCACAAAAAAGATCAGGCATGTCTTTTCCTGGGTCAATGAGCAGAACTCTGTTTGTAAGGATGGCATATAGAAAAGCCGATGCTACTGTTAAGATTCTGTTCCCCAAGCCACTAAAAGATACCCAGACAACATATTTACACTCTGAAGATTCTGCAGAGCTGACAATGTTTCTAGACCTAAGCTGTTTTATGGTCTTGTTATAGGATTTGGTGTAGGGTCCACAGCGTTTATGGAGATCTTCATAAGCGCGAAGCCTGGAGAGAAGATAAGGAGAAGGTTTATGGGGTGAAGGTTTCTTGTGATATAGCCAGGATTGGTACCTGCTTACGCAAGAGCCTTCATTAAACCCAGGAGGAAGAAGTCCCCCAAGAAATTTATCTTCTGACACGCTAGAGGACTGAGAGTAACCGTCTTCTGAGCCTGTGAATTCAAAAAAAAAAAAAAAGCCAACAGAAAATTAATAATTAAACAGATTATGCTGATTCTCTAGGGCCATGAAAAAATTGCCGGGAGAGAAAATTAGTAGATAGACAATTGACTGCAGAGTCTTAAAGCAAGCGAAACTATGGTGAAAAAAGTTCCATAGCGTACTACATAATTTCAATCATATATAACTTTTGACTAAAGTAATGGGGTCTGAATAACAGTAATTATTGTTTACGATGACGCTCTTTCCAATGTTCATTGCTTAGCACTCTCAAGTCTCTGTTCTTCATCTGCACAGTTCTACTATTCACGGAAACAAAGAAGAGTCACCGATCATTCATTCTCAAGCATCATGAATTCAAAAATTAATACGGGCACTGACTTATATATGTAAAAGACGATGGGATTCCACCAGGATGATGAATTTGTACCCCAAGACAATCAATAATGAAAATTCTAACCACTTATGCAGCACCATTTTACTTTACTCAAACTGAGACACCAGCATTAAACTAACAAATATAACTAACTATAATTCCAGGGAGGAATCGTACCTTGAGCCAGGGAGGAATCATTCCGAGACACTTTGTCCAGAACTCTTGCGTCGGCCAAACTCAGGGTTTGATTCGAGAATGATGAGAAGGGAAGGGAGAGTCTGAATGCGACGAAAAGAGGAAGAGATATCAAGCATATGGCGAGGATTTTTGTCGATAATTGATAGGAAGTCATAATGGAAGAGAAGACGGACGGCCGGGCTTGCTGCAAAATCGTTCAATCGAATTCAAACACGGCAATTAACGTTGAAGAGAGAAAAGGAAGGGAAATGCGAAAGATACAGAGAAGAAGAATAGGTAGAGGGAGGTTCGATGGAGGATTGGACTGGAAAGGAAGAGTGAGTGAGGAGTAGTGAGTACGTTGAATGCGGGAAACAATGGAAGCAAACGAGCTTCTTTGGTTCAAAGGGTTAGAGAAAGGCTTAAATCCACGTGGCGGATGAGTGAAGGCTGACTATATTTGTTATATTTGTTGTAACGCATTAATTATATCAATTGACATCATTCCTTTTATAATTGGATCGTGATAGTCCGTGCCTGACTATATTCATCCATGCCGGCATTTATTTCACATTCCAGTATTTCTTTGAGAAATTAGTGTCGGCATTGCACATAATTCAATAAATATATCTTAATTATAAGATCTCATTTATAGTTTATAAATAAAATTTTATAATCTTATAATTAAGACCAGAAGTAGTAATTCCATCTAATTTTTAATTATAAAATATAATTTCAAGTGACTGATGAAAAATAAAAAAATTACAGAGAAGTAGAATTATAAGGACTTGATAAAATTTAAAAAAACCTACGAGACTTGATTAAAATCAAGTAAAACTAGGAGGGCCTGATGAAAAAAAAGAAGAAAATTTTTGATTAAGGACCACATATAGGAATTAATTTCAAACAGTCTCTAAAAATTTTTGAAATATCACTGCAGGACCAAAGAACCAAATTAAAATTAAAATTAGGAGGAAGATTACAATAATACCTCTCATTTTTATTTTTTTTAAAAAGTAAATATTAATGGTCGCCAGAGGTCCTGCCACCAGTGCTTAGGTGGCCGCCACTAGAGGTTGGAGCTCCAGTGGCTGCTACTGTAGCTCGAGTGGCCGGAAGTTTTTTTTTTTAAAAATAAGATAGTCAAAAAAAGGTTTGAACCCATGACATCTTGGCACCCAAAGGTGATGTGACCACCAAGCCAAGCAAACTATTTAATCATGTAATGCAAATAAAGATTATAGATAACAAAACAAACACAAGTGTCCAAGTGTAAATGAACAAGTGAAATTTGACAATTTACAAGTAAAATTCAGCAATTTACAATAAAAATTAGGCAATTTATAAATAACATAATGGAATTCATAACCCCAAATGCAAGTGTTTAAGTATAAATGAGCAGGTGAAATTTAAAGATTTACAACAAAAGTTTATAGATTTACAACCTAAATTCGGCTATTGATCACAAGAAACACAAGAGAATTCACAACCTAAAATGTAAGTGTTTGAGTATGAATAAACAAGTGAAATTTAGCGATTTACAACAATAATTAAAATATTTACAACCCAAATTCAACGATTCATAAGAAACATGAATACTTGTATTTGAAGTTGTGAATTCTCTTGTTAGTTTTGTAATGTTTATGTTTCTTATGAATCATTGAATTTAGGTTGTAAATAATTGAATTTTACTTGTTCATTTACATTCAAACACTTACATTTTGGGTTATGAATTTTCTTATGTTTCTTGTGAATAGCCGAATTTATGTTATAAATCCATAAACTTTTGTTGTAAATTGTCAAATTTCACTTGCTTATTTACACTTAAACACTTTGCATTTGGGGTCGTGAATTCCATTTTATTATTTGTAAATTGTCAAATTTTTGTTGTAAATTGTTGAATTTTACTTGTAAATTGTCGAATTATACTTGTTCATTTATACTTGGATACTTACGTTTGCTTTGTTATATATATTTTTATTTACATGATATGATTAAATGGTTTGCTTGGCTTGGTGGTCATATTATTTTTGGTGTGTTAAAAGGTCATGGGTTCAAATCTTGGCCACCTTATTTTAAAAAAAAAACATTTCCGGCCATCAGAGCTACAGTAACAGCCACCGGAACTCCAATATTTGGTGACGGCCACCTGAGCGCCGGTGGCCGGAACTCTGACGGCCATTAATATTTATTTTTAAAAAAAATAAAAATAAGGGGTATTATTGTAATCTTACTCCTAATTTTAATTTCAATTTGGTCCTTTGGTCTTGCAGTAATATTTTAGAATATATTGGGGGCTATTTGAAATTAATTCCCATCTGCAGTCCTTAATTGAAATTTTTCTAAAAAAATATACATGTCTAATTAAAAATTCGATGAAACTATAGGGATTGCAAATTAAATTCTCCTAATAAATGTGCATATCACTTTGTTTGAAATACCCCCTTTTTCATGAAGATAGAAAGAGTATTAAATGTGAGTCATATTTTTATTGGGTTGAAGTATAAATTTGTTCTAAAAGTTTTTGTTTAGGAGTGTTGAGTCCTCAAAAGTTTTAAAATCATAACAACTTTACTCCGTAGTATTAAAAAAGCTAACATTTTTAATGGTAGAGAGCAAAATTGCTATGGGAATATTGAACCCAAAAAATTTTGAGGTGCCTAATACTTTTGAGTGAAAACTTTTGGGAGACAAATTTATGCCTTAATCCTATTTTTTATTTGCCTAAACCCTAAACAAAATGGGAAAATCAATAAAATTGTTTATTCGCCTCATTGAGTCAAAAATGGGAAAAACTGATATGCAAGTCTCTATAATTTTAATTAGTTTCTTATAACTTTAATGGCTGAAAAAAGAAAAAAAAGAGAGAAAGAACTGCAAGGACATGGTTAAAAATAATGTAATACCATATAGGACTTGATTAAAAACGGGAAAAAAAGGCTACAAGGACTTGATTAAAATGAGGTAAAACTATTTCTATTTGATTTTAACATATGATAAAAAACTTCTAATGTTAAATTAAAAATTAAAAATGATTTTTTTTAAGCCCATGTAATATTTATGCTGAAAATGGTTGTAAAAGATATATTCTGTAAAATTTATCCGAAAAAGAAAAAATAAAATAAAAAAGCACACTGAGATGCCCGGCGCATGCATGGATGGATTGGATATTTGGATGATATATATGGCGGCCGCTATCACCGACACCGAACGAACTTGCCTCCACTACACATAAAAACTGATACTGCATCATGATGAGTCATGATATCACTATATATCATCGTTCTTATACTCACACCTCTCCCTCATTCCCTTCGCTCCACGTGTCTCTCTCCCCTTGCCCCCACCTCTCGCCCTCCCCCTCCCAAGTGAAGACACCACAGTCATTCTCTCTCGTCCTTCCACTCCTTGTACGTACTTTTCCACCACTTCTATAAGTTCTTGTTCATGTACACATTATGGTCATATACAACTTTAGATACTGTGCTCTCCATTTTTTCGGTTGATGTTGCGGGTCTACTCACAGTATTTCCAGGTTTGCTCTTGCATTCTCTTTCACAACTTCATTCTTCTGCTAACTACTCACCCGTTTGGCCATTTCTCCTATATCTATATATATATATACGCACACACACTGTATGTCTTCATGCTAAGCTTGCAGACATATGGTGCATTAGTTCTGAGTGTTTGTCTATGTACCTGTTATGCTTCCATGAAGATTTTCAAATTAAACATTCATGGGGTATTATTTCCTTTTTATATACACTCTCAGATTTCACGAGAGCACAGGTGCAGTGTTTCTGAGGGAGGAAGAGAAAGAGATGACATTTAAGAGAGATTTCAAGGAACAAATGGTGCATGAGTGGGCAGGAAACTACATGGACTATGAAGGCCTCAAGAAGATATTAAAAGAAATCAAAAGTAGTAAGCCAGGTCAGAATAATCAGAAACCACCTCATAAATCCTTGCGCCACATGCTCAGTTTTGAAAGAGGGTTTTCTGGGCTTCATTTGGAACATAGCAATCATGGAAGGATTGAAGGCGATATCGAAGAGCATCAGGTTATAGATGTCAAGAAATTACAGCAGGATGGTTCTTCAAGGAAACTCTATAAGACCCATTTCCGCAAGAGCCATGAAGAAGGAGAAGCTGAGGTAAGGCTCTTTCAGAAGCTTGATGAAGAGCTAAACAAGGTTAATTCCTTTTTCAAGGAACAGGTGGAGGCATTAGAGCATGAAGAAAATCTCTTGAAGAAACAAATGGAGGCTTTAATTGCATTGCGGGCAACGGTGAAAAACCCTGATATTGGTAAATGCAAAATCTATGGTTGCGTTTTTTATCAATAGTTTCATCTGGTTGAGATCCTGAATTTCTGAATTTTATTACGTAGAATTTCATGGATGAATATCAGTCTTTGTTCAGAGACATGAATTTACAGAGAAAATTAGAATATTATCTAGCCGTTTCATTTTGAACTGAATTTGCAGAGATGCAGAATTTGAGTTCATCACCTGCGGAAAAAATGGATCATGATTGTCAACGAAAAGATATGGATGTCACAAACGGAAATGCTAATCATGATGGGGAGGAAGGACGGAGTAATTATAACAGAAGAGATCCGTTGGAAATCCTGGACCAAGTAAAGATTGATAATACAATTGAAGCTTCAACGTCAGCAATCAGAAGTGTTTTTACTGGTTTCAAGCAAGAGGAATCTAGTTTCAGCAAGGAAGATCTGAGAAAAGTTGAGAAGCAATTGAGGCTTGTGTTTGTTGAATTCTATCAAAAACTACTTAATCTGAAAAATTACAGGTGATGAAAGTTGACGGGGCTACTTGCATTCTAATAGATCAGAGTAAAATGGCCTTCTTTTTCCTTAACCAGTGTGTGGTTGTGATTGTGTTTGTAAACATGGATGAAACAGTTTTATGAACCTCTCAGCTTTTTCCACGATCATGGAGAAGTATGAAAAGGTTAGATCCATGCCTGATTCCTTCCAAATTTCAGTTCCATTAGTTTCTTGTTCTTCTCTGAAATCAAAATTGCACTAGAGGAATTCGCAAAATAATTGCTTAAATCAGATAAGGTCTTCTGTAACTTGATTTCATTTTTATTAGTTAGTTAATTAGTTTCATTTTTTTATGTGTTAATTTGGGAAGACAACAACAAGGGCAGCGTCTAGAGCATTCATGAGAGAAGTGGATAATTCCTACATTGGCACTTCTGATGAGGTTTGTTTTAACTTCGAACCATTTATGTATCATATTTAGGGTACTGATAGTAATTATGACTTTTATGCCGCTGCCTCAGACTTCATTCATCTAATTATCTGATTATTATAATATCCTTCATAAGAAAATGTAATACTCCTTAGTCCTTGATATAAGACCCATTTAACTAATTTGATTAGATTAAGGAAGTTAGGTAAGTTAGTTAATTATAAGAAAAGTGACACATTTTTCCTAAAATATCATAATCATCTTTCTTAATACCCCCTCTCTCTTTTACTTGATTATGGTTGAGGGAGTATCCATAAGGGTAATTTAGAGAAAATTGATAAATATGAGAATGAGTCTTATATTTAGGACCAAAATCAACTCAAGAATTGGGTTTTATATTAAGGACCGGAGGACTGTGATTCAAATATTTTGTGCAGAAAGTTCCTGATTATGGCATTTTATCATATCTTTTAATCATGTCTTTCAGGTGATATCTAGTTGATAGTTTTGAGTCTAGTATACAATCTGGTGGCATTAGTGTTTGGGAAATCAGAGAATCAATAAAAAAAAAAAAAAGAGGCTCTTTTACACTTTAAGAGACAACTCATGTCATATACTTATCTCATACAGTGCAAAATCATTTAAAATAAGCTAATTGAAACACTTAAACCATCTTAGTGATGCTATGCTGATTTTCTTGTAAACTTGTTGATTCACTTGATCTGATTTTAGGTAACCTGTATGTTGGAGAGGGTGGAGTCTACTTTCACCAGAAACTTTGCACGCTCCAATCATAAGAAGGGAAGGAAATTATTGAGGCCAAAATCTAACAGAGAAAAGCACAGCATAACATTTCTTACAGGTAAATACTACCAAAAATGCTTGGCAAATACAGCAGATAAAATGGTTGACTTTAAGCATCACTAGGAAGACTTTCATGGAATGACGTTTACTTTGCCTTTTTACTCATAGGCTTCTTTTCCGGATGCTTTGTCGCTCTACTAGCTGCTACCCTAACAAGAATTATATCTCAAAATTTGATGAAGCAGAAGCAGGGGTCATTTTACCTGCAAAACATTTTCCCACTGTACAGGTATTAGTATCTTTTTCGGAACATTGTTTCTGTGGTATGTACTTCCCTTCTTTATCACTTGATATTCTTTTTACTACCCTTGGTCTTTATATAAGAGCTAGGTAACTAATTTATGAATATTAAAAAAATTAGTTAAGTTAGTTATTTGTAACAAATGTATGTCAGCTTATACATTGGAACTATCTTGGTGGGAGAAGTAGATCATTGTGCATCCAGTGTCTGCCTTTGATTGAGGTTCCTATATTTCTTGCAGTTTGTTTGGATTTATCACCCTACACATGCTTATGTATGCCGTGGATGCATATTTTTGGAGGCGCTATCGAGTGAATTATCCATTCATATTTGGGTTCAAGCCTGGAACTGAATTGGGTTGCAGAGAAGTTTTCCTGCTGAGCACTGGTCTTGCAGTGCTTGCGTTACTTGGTTTCTTGGTAAATCTGCAGCTAGAGATGAACCCAAAGACTCAAAGCCATAGGAAGGCAGCAGAAATAGTTCCTTTGAGCTTGCTTATGGTAATATTCTAATCTAACTGACTGTCCTAATTTATTTATTGCTTTTAAATACAACTCAACAAGCCTCTTGATATGGTTTAGGGGTGATAGGCCTGAGTGGTTAGAGTAAAGCCTTAAATTCAGACTTATTGCTTGTCATGCTGTTAACGAAAAACCAAATTATTGTGCCATCATTATGTTCAACTCCTTTTATGTTTCATGTGCAGCTTGTTCTTTTGATAACCTTCTGTCCTTTTGACATCATATTTCGATCAAGCCGGTTCTTCTTCATGAAGTGTTTATTTCGCTCCATATGTGCTCCTTTCCGCCCGGTAATGTAATTAAATAGGGGAGAAAAAAGAAAGGCATAAGCAAATGGATTAAATGCCACTCACAATTTCTGATTTTTTGCAGGTTAGGCTCCCGGATTTCTTCTTTGCTGACCAGATAACTAGCCAGGTCTTATGCTCACATGGTGTTTACTGGTAACTAAAAACTGATCTATTTCTTATGGTAATGACCGCATCCATAGTCTGCTATTTTGTTTAGGTTCAAGCCTTCAGAAATTTTGAGCTTTACATATGCTATTATGGCTTGGGAGAACACTCAAGAAGGCAAGAAAAATGTCAAAGTCGTGGTGTCTATAACACACTGTCTTTCATCATTGGTGTCATTCCTTTCTGGTTTCGCTTATCACAGGTCCACAAATTCTATCCTTCATATATGCCTTTTAACAATCCAAGGTTTTACTTTCTAAAGAATGTGATAGCAAACATTTACTAGCAGCATATAAGTTTCTTCCAATGTAATCATGTTGTTTACCTGTTGTTCAAGTGTTTATGTCCATTGCAGTACAGAAATTGAACAGCATATTGAATTTGTGCAGTGCATGCGTCAATTGTATGATGAAGGAGATATCATCAGAGCATGGCATGGCTTGAATTACCTCTTCACCATCCTGGCCCTTCTCAGTAGGACGGCCTTTGAACTGAAGAAGGGAGTGACCTGGAAGGTTTTGGCTCTAATAACATCATCCGTAACCGTGATACAGAACACATATTGGGATATTTTTGTTGACTGGGGACTTCTCAGAAGACACTCAAGGAACCCATATTTGAGGGATAAGCTTCTTCTTCCTCATAAATGTGTCTACTTCATTGCTATGGTAACAAGAAGAATTTCAACTAAACCAGAAGAAGGAAAAAAAAAAAAATGATGCTTTGTACTTCAGACTGATTCATTTGATCTCTCTGAAATTTGCAGGGCCTTGACGTTTTGCTTAGACTTATCTGGATGCAGTCAGTGCTTCAACTGACATGGCGCCCCCTTCAAAAAGTGGCAATGACAACAGTAATTGGGTGCCTGGAAATCATACGCCGTGGCATTTGGAACTTCTTTAGGTAATGTCTCCTGCTGGACTTGTCAAAAGATTGAATTTTCAAACCATTAAAATTCAACTTGTTGGAGCTGACTTGAGAAAATGTGAAAACTGATCAGGTTGGAGAATGAGTACTTGAACAATGTAGGCAAGTATCGTCCTTTCAAGTCAGTACCACTTCCTTTCAGTTACTACAAAGAGGACAATGAGGAAGATAATAACAAGGATGAATAGTGGAGAATCCAAGCCAGAAATGAAGCCCTGTATAATTTATGATATTGTTCATCTAAAGTAATCCATTGCTCTTCCCGTTCTCAGACCAATTTAAATAATTTGATTATATTAAGGAAATTAATTAAACTAGTTGATTATAATAAATATACCATGTTTTTTCTAAAACACTTTTACCCAGATAGCCTTCAACTTCAACCATTCTTTTTTTTTTAAAAAAAAAGGGAAAACCATATTGAAGGTACCTATACTTTCTCTCAATTTTTAATTTGGTACCTATGTGTTTTTTTCTCTTTAATTAAACATTTAATTTTATCTTTTTAGCAACATTAGCTCTTATAACTTTGTTCTATTGATATTTTTAGTCTCTACATAAGGATTAATGATGTTAATAGAGGAAAAATAAAGATTTAGTTAAGAACAAAAAACACATAGGTACCAAATTGAAAATTGAAAAAAAGTATAGGTACCTCCACTATGGTTTTCCCAAAAAAAAAAACCCACTATTTTACTGAGGGAGTATTAATAGGGGGTGATTTAAAAAAATATAAATATATGATATATGTCTTATATTTAGGATAAAAATAGTTTTTCAATTAGGTCATATATTAAGAACTAAAAAAATAAGGAGATATAATATTTTATAATAAAATTAATAAATTAGTATCTTGTGTTATTACAAAGGCTTATGCAACATTGCAGCACAAAGCATGTGTGCAAAAATAGTGAATAAGTTATACTTTATACCATGGGTTTCATTGATAAACTTTATATGAATTGTGAATTAATAGACTAATCCCAAGAAAATAATACTAGATCTATTAAAAAGCATATGATAATAACAAAATAAAAAAATTTAGGTAATTAAAATTTATATATTAAAGTTTTCGTACAAGATCACAATACCATTGATAAATTTATTAATTTAAACGTACCCTTAGGATAATTTTGAGTTTTCAACCTCTTCTAATAGATTTCTGTGAGATTTTTCTTAGATTTAAATCGATTTAGATAAAAATGAAATTTAAAACTATATGATAATAACAAAATAAAAGAAATTATGTAATTAACTTTATATATGGGAGTTTTCATGTTATTAACTGACAAGGCCATTAATAAATTTATTAATTTAAACATTTTTATGATAATTTTAAGTTTTTAATCTTTTAAGTCAATTTCGATAAAATGAAATTTAGTACGGTTTCCGAATTATGTATTGGAAAAGATTAATGACAAAAAAGTACTAAAGGAAATAAGGAATAAGAAATCAACTTAAATAAGAACCACGCAAATTGAGATTACGTAGCCTTCAAGCAACATATGTATTTTCTTAATTAAAAAATTTCACGAAATTCTGTTCAAAGGGTTTAAGGAGGTTTTAAGCGAAGGAGGGAGGAAACAAGCGACGCAACTTCCTCCTTCCATCAGAAGAAGCCCTAACGACACAGCCACCGTCTGCTCCTCCTCTTGCGGCTCATCTCTCCGCTGCGATCCTCACCATCCTGTAAAATTCCAATCTGTCTGAACCCTATGTCCCCGCCTGATACTAAACCCCTAAATCCTGACTCCGGTTCGCCCGCGAGTCAAACCCCAACTCAGCAATCAGATTCCCCGGCTGATGCTAAGCCAGAAGATGCTCCGTCAGATCAGCAGCAGCAGGAGGAGGAGGAAGAAGAGGGGGAGTGTGGATTTTGCTTGTTCATGAAAGGAGGTGGATGCAGAGATAGCTTTATCGATTGGGAGAAGTGCATTGAAGAGGCAGAGAAGAACCAGGAGGATGTTGTGGATAAGTGCGTTGAGGTAACTGCGAAATTGAAGTTGTGTATGGAGGCTCATGCAGACTACTACGAGCCTATTTTGAGGGCAGAGAAGGCGGCTGAGAAACAATTCGTCGATGAATTGGAAAAAGAATCAGGGACGGCGCAGCAGACTGCAGATCAGAGTGCTTCCCAGTCAAAGGAGGCTGCCAAGGATTCTGGGAAAGAAGCGGCTTCTAATGATAAGTGAGAATGTCTTAGGTCCATGCGAAATACGCTAGTTCAGAAATGAAAATTGTGTTTTCATAGTAATCTGTTTAACAAAAATGATAAAGGAGAACGTTTTACATTCACGTTTTTCCCGGATTTGTGGCCGGACTAGAGGCTATTGAACAAGATGAATTACGAGAGAAAGAGAGAAAGAGTCTAATCTCATTTTTTGTCCCCAATAATTGGAATGATTAATGTTACTTACTTCAATTTATTATTTTTATTCCCCTTGAATTTTATAATGTGTGTGTAATCGGTTAAATGTTTTCATATTTGTGTTTTTCTCTACTTCAATTTCACCATGATGATTGGCTTACAGACTGAAATGGATAGTTGGTGTGATGATTTGTTTAGCTTGCGTTAGGAATTTGACATTGTTGTTCCTCTTGTTGGAACAATGATTTTATACTTCAAGGTTCCAATTCATATTATTGAGCAGTTTTATCTCAAGTTTAGTCTCGTTCTGTTCTGACGGCCTCTTTCCCTTCTTTCCTACACAATGTTGGGGATGGAGTAGTGAAATGGTTGGTGAGTGTGCTGCATTGTGCTTGGCAGTGTTTTGGGAATACCTATAGGATTGTGGAGTTGTGGATAATAAGACTTGAGTTCCAATGGAAATGATCAAGGTTGCTTTGACTAATCTTGCTATTTGCACCTATGGCTCTGTCTTGACATTTACAATACTGATGTTTGTCAAAAAGTGAACCGGATAATGAAGTTTATGATTTGTTTTCTGTTATGCATTGTTTTGTTTCTGTTGCTATTGTGCTTCTGTGTAATCCTTATATATTTGTACTGTAAAACCTCGAGTTTAGACAGTTTTGTTACTCTTTTATCTAATACATTTCATTGAAATGGATGTACCCAGACAAATCTGGGGCTTAATAGAAAATGAAATCATTTTTTTGATGCTCCTGCATTTCTTTCATGCTTGAATTGGATGCGAATTAGACTATTTATCAAGTTAGCTACTGTGTTGTGACCAATGTGTTTGTGGCTGTTAATCTTGGGTATTCTTCTAACCTGCCGGGGAATGTGAAGCTATCTGGCCTTTCACAAATTCTTGAGTTCTTGCTATTCTGCACTAACTAAAATCCATCCATGCTTCTGCTCCCCCAATACAATGTACTACCTCCGGTCTGTAATATAAGATTTAGTTTACTAATTTGGAGAGATTAAGAAAATTAGTTAAGTTAGTTATTTGTAATAAATATGTGTTGTTTTTTTTCAGAATACCCTTGCTAATTATGTATATTAGCTAAAACTACCATTTGATGAAACATTCTACAAGAATTATTTGAAAAAAATGGATAAATACAAAAGACAAAATAGATTGAAGTTTTATATTTAGGATCAAATTAAAAGCCAAATTAGTTCTTATATTAAAGTTTGGAGGTGATATTGTGCATAGATTTGTGATGGAGACTTGCTCTAACTGTGCCTCTTATGTTTACCAATGTAACAGCATTTGTCATGCTTGCATCTCTTGTTGCGTTCATGAGGCCTTGACGATTAAGCGGATTTATTAACCTTTTGTTGTGTTAGTTTCAGCATGCTATTTCCAGGCTTGGTAGAGCATGCGTGATTGTGTCTAGTAATTTTCACCTGGTGGTTCTGTTGTTTGATATGGTACACGGCGATTGTTCTCCATCTCCAATTTTATTGGAGCTTAGACACAGAAGCTTATTGTAATAGCGGCATTGCAAGTTGATTACAGGTGAAATTCAAACCATGGGATCAAAAGCAACACAGTGGCTTTTATATAAACAGTGTCCCACCCCTTCCTTATAAACAGCAGCATGAATCTCAACGAAACGAGCACAACTCTTCTGTGTGTGTCTTGGGTGGTAAGGCAGTGGCTTTGTTAGCAATGAGAATTATAGTCTGCTATGGTCGAACTCCTATTATGATCGTGGCCTTCCCAAGTCTTTCCTTCTGAATGGAAACAATCAAGCCCTTGGCATGGGTTGTTCAGACTTCAGAGTCAACAAAGTTAAAACCTACTATTCAAAGGATTTACGAGTCCAAATTCAAGATATATGTATTGTAAGTTTAAAATTTGTTTTGAAAAAAAGATAAATTTAAAACATTTTTAAATTGGAATGCATTGGTCGTGCAAATCAAGTTCATATTGAACTTCACCAGTGTTTAAAATGAAGGTTTTAATACGAGAGCTTTGTCTGGAGGTTTCTTCTCTCCTTCGTCTTCTTCGCCCCTCGTTGCTGATGTGCCACCTCTTCTTCTCTCTGTCGTCAATAACTTCGCCTCATTTGGTGAGCCGTGTCGCACTTTCTTTTTCCCCGGTCTTTCGCTACTTTTGTAGTTCTTCCGTCGTTCTGCGTTGGTGTGCCCTATCTTTTTTACTCCCTCAATGTTCTCCTCCACCACTTGACTTTCCACAGCCTCTAATCATTGCTTTGCTTCCTTCCTTGTTCCTTCCTTAGTTCCCGCCGTCTTTTCCTTTATCCTTCACCGCCGCCTTAGAATTTTGTTCTCCCTTGCAAGTCACTTGTAGGGGAAAAAATATTATTCCCAAATATAAGTTATTTGTAGGGTATTTAATGTGTTTTTTTTTAATCTTATCTCTATTGAGTATAATAAAGAAATTGTGAGAAAATATGCAGCATGTATTTTTTTCCCAAACCCTTTTCTTAATAGGGGCATATGTGAGAACTTTTATTAATTTAATGCATTATGTGAGAATATGATACAAGTGATTTATATATAGAAATAGAGCAACAAAGTGATATCATTTTTGTCTCTACCCTCTTCTTTTCCTCCTTACTTACTTTTGATGGCTTCTTCCCGAACTTCGCTTCTTTTAGGCTGATTGAGCGACCTGATATATGCTTCCTAGCTTTTCCTAACCCCTTATTCCTTCTTTTTGACAGCTCTTATTCCTTTGTTTGTTTCAAAGACAACCATAAAATGGGTAGTGCTTTGGTTGTCTATCTCAATCTGAGTTTATCAATTCACACTTCGATTTTTTGTTTTGCATTTCAGCTTTAAACACAAGAAAATTTGTGCTGGCTTAAATTCTCAAACCTTTAAAGTATAGGATAAAAGGATGAATTGTGGTTCACCAAGTTTTTTAAAGAAATTTTTTATTCCAAGGCTATGCCTGATGAATGGAAGAAAAACACTTCAATTCATATTTACAATAATAAAGGAAATATTCAAAACTTTGTAAGCTACAGAGATATAAATCTTATGAGCCATACGATAAAGTTGTAGGAAAAAAATGATTGAACATAAGTTGAGGTTGAAGACTTCTATTTTTTAGAATTAATTTGGATTTAGTTCGGGGAGATCCACAACAGAAGCAATTTGTTTACTGAAGGGGTTAATAGAAAGGTATAGAAGTAAAATAAGGGATTTATATACTACTTCTGATCCTAATTATAAGAGCCAGTTGATTAATTTGAGGATATTAAATAGGTGTTGTCTTTCCTAAAATATCCTTACTAATCAAGTGTATTGACTAGAACTATAATTATTAGAAGGACTATCTTGGAAAAATTTGAGTAAATATAAGAGACAAAGTGGATTGGGGTCTTATATTTAGGATCAAAATAAAAGTCAAACGGGATCTTATACTAAGGATCTGAGGTAGTATGATTTTTATTGACTTGAAAAAAGTTTATAATCATATGCCAAGATAAGTACTTTGCAAAGCCTTGAAAAAGAAAGATGTGTGGGTTGCATATATCAAAACCATACAAAATATTTATAAGGGGATAACTAGTAGTGTAAAAATACTTACAGGTGAAACAAAGGACTTCCCTATTAAAGTTAGTCTACACCTAGAGTCTTCTTTAAGCCCTTACTTATTTAATACTCCCTCCGTTCCTTATTATAAGAGACAAATAACCGAAGTACGTTAATAAAAAAAACAGTTAAAATTAGTTAAGAACAATTAATGTGTAAAAAGTATAATTTTTTTTCCAAAAATGCCCTCATTAATAAGGAGAGAGAGCATGAGAGAGAACAATTAAATTATTAAAAGAAAGAGAAGTGGGAGGGAGAGAGAGTGTGAGTTGGAGATAATAAATATGGGTAAAATAGTAAATCAACACAAAAAAGTAGAGACAATTTGTAAGTGTCTCTTATATATAGGAACATGCCATAAGCATCAAATGTCTCTTATAATAAGGAACGGAGGGAGTATTGTTTTAGATGTTTTAATTGAGTTTATTCAAGAAGAAATCTCTAAATGCATGCTTTTTCCAGATGACATAATTCTCATGGCTGAATCAAGAGAAGAAATTAACTCTAAATTGGAGTTTTAGAGAAGGATCTTGGAGTTGAAATATTTTTGCTTAAGCAAGAACAAAATAGAACATGCATTACAATTTTGGAGGAAGGCAAATCAATAGTGATTTGGAGGTGAAGACATGAGATCAAATCACTCCGCAAGTATCAAAATTCAAATATCTAAGATTCATTATATATGAGGATAATGAAATTGATAGAGATGTTTTTCATAAAATACAAGCTGGATGTTGAAAGTAGAAGAAGGCTATTGAAGTTATTTGCGATAAAAATATACCTGAGAAGCTTAAGAAAAAATTCTATCGGATTGTTATAAGACCAGGTATGTTGTATGGTAGCGAATATTGAGCTTTAAAGGAAAAAAAAGAGTATAAAGTTGGAGTAGCAGAAATGAAGATATTGAAATGGATGTATAGTCATATAAGAAAAGATAATATTCGAAATGAAAATATTAGAGTAAGGTATGGTCTCTATCGAAGAGAAAATAGTTGAATATCATTTGAGGTGATTTGAGTATGTGTAGAGAAAGTCATTGGAGGCGTTGGTGAGAAGAGTAGATCGTATAGTTTGGAGTCCTATAAAAAGAGATAGAAGAAGACTAAGAAGAATGCTCAATGAGGTTATTGAGTGAGACTTTCTCATCAACAATATATCTAAAGACTTGATTGTTGATAAAGTATAATGGCATTATACGATCTATGTGTTACACCTTACTAATATATTGACTTAGATTCCTTTTAAAACCATTTTTGAACACATTGGATGGTCTTGGACTCACTTTTTACCATAAAAACGCTAAATTTCAGGTTTTTACTGTTCATCAGGTAAAAATTCAGTTTTTCTGGCCCAACTTAAAAAATTCATAACTTATTCTACAAAAATCCAATTGGGGTGGTTCAAAATTATACTTAAATATCTGTAAGTCTTATTTCAAGGAAAAATAATCTCAATGTCCAATTCCTTATGCAAAAGCGTTAGGTTTTTTAGAAAAGCAACACTGTCCATTTGCCAAAAACCCAGATTCCCAGATTCTGACCATTAACTTTGAAAAATCATTATAAATCGTATACTAAGCCATTTTTAACGTATTAACTATCAATTTGAAGCTCAAGACGTTATCTTTCATCATGCCAAATTTCATAATTAAACGCATTTGGGAGCATAATCAAAAAGTCGCGTGAACCAGTCAATGCCAGTGTGCTTCCAGCATTGTTAGTTTAATATGTACATAACCAAATGAGCTCACGAATTTTTGTAGCTAAACCCCACAAATTAGCCTTCAATCTGCAGCTTTCCCTTGGAGGATTCAGGCCCTAAAATGTTACATTATTTTTGGAGGATGAGATTTTTGAAAATCCCAGTAGCAAATTAACCAACTATAGCACCAAGCAAGCATCATTATTATGCATTATCACATTAATTACTATTAATGAACTAACATGCTTATCATTTGGCAAACTCAATCATGCAAAGGCCAAAGCAAGATACTATAAAGAGCAGCCACATAACAATCAAAAGAGCTCAACCACAATAATAGCAATTAACCATACAATAATCAACAATGCTAGTTAGTGGTAGTAGCTAGATTTAACTTGCTACCTTGATCCAAAGATTTGTGCTTTCTTTGATTCTCTTCTTTTTCTTCACAAAGGTCAAACCCTAGCATGATAATCCATAAAAAGGACAACAAGAATCATTATCCATTTCAACCAAAAGCAAGAACATAACTCAAAAATACTCTTGCTTCATAAAAGTTCCATCTTTGCTCTTTGCTTTTGAACTTGTTTTCCATAGGGTTTAAAAATCCTTTCTTGCCTTATCCCCACATGTTTTTCCATTTTAAACACCATGGAATAGGGGCCATTTAGTGTCAAAACTGAAATGCTCCTTACAATACACAATAAAGAACACACTTCCAAAACACCCTAAAATCACTTGTAACCATTTGGATCTTTTATGTTTTGAAGTGTTTTACCATATTTGAGCAACATAACTCCTTCCCCTACACCATCATTATTTCGTCCAGTTCCCAAAGAAGAGGAGAAACAAGATTTCCAACCATACAAAGCAAGAAAACAAGGTAAGGAACAACTTAGAGCCAAAAACTAACCTTGAATCTCACTTGTGTACTCTAAGACGCTATCTTTCTTCTTAGTTCTTCCTTGGTTCCATTTGAAACACTCTCTTTTCTCTCTTGGCTATGGCTTGCACGAAATAGAAGTCTGATTTTAGGGGAGGAAGTGCTCATTTAATGCTTCAAAATATCTCAACCACCACCATTAATGCTAATCCAAGTGTCACTACCCCATTGGTTCCTTCTTTCTCTTTCTTAGGGGGTGTTTGGATATAACCAAACCATGGTTTGGAGAATAGCTTCCGGAGAATAGATTTTGGGGAGAATAGATTTTTTGAAGAATAGATTTTGTGAAAAAGTGATTCTGAGAAGTGAGAGTGTTTGGATAGTTGTTACCAGAAACACTTTTTACATGTATAAATTACTAAAAAAGGCATAAGTTAATATGATAATTACAGAAAAAATATATTTTATGATATATTTTAATTTGAAGGAATAAAATTGTTAATAATATATTTTTTATTAACATAATTAATAATACATAAGATAATATAATTAATAAATAATTAATATGTATATATATTTATAAGATATAAGATTAAATATATTTATAAAAAAATATGTTTATAAAAAAAACAACAAGATACATATCCTATAGGCTCTCACACTCTCCCTTTTTTTCCCAAAAGCAAAAACTTTTTGCTTTTCCCAAAACCATGGTTTTGATTTTTTTAAGGGTGTTTGGGAGATTTTTTTCTCAAACCATGGTTTGGATTGGAACCCAAACACCCCCTTAATTAACTAAATCCAAATGAAATTAATTACCAAAAGTCAAAATCCTCTCCATTTAGAAAATGACACTTGGCAATTTCAAATCCTCTCCACTAAGAGCTTGACACTTGGCTCAATGAGGATCATTCAAAATGCAAAGCTCTTTATCGGTGCACTTTGACTCTGGGTTTGAATCATTTTCTATAATTACAGTATTCTAACCTCTGTAATTATTTTCTATCAAAGCCCTATTTTATTCTCCTCATTTTTATCTTTCTAAATTGCCCTCTTTTGTCTCAAAATTAATTTCCTCATAATTAACATAAAAGGAAAAATTAATTTCCTTTTCTTACGGATTTTTCCGCTTTTCAAAGAATTTAGGGAAAATCTTAGATATTTGAGGGTTTTATTTTAATTCTATAATTTCTTATAATTCCTTGAGATATCGTAGGAATTTTCTTGAACCTTTATTCTCCTTAAAATATTTATTTGGAATTTTCCAAATAAAAGCCCTTAAATTAGGCTAAATCACCCTTAAATTTCTTTGTAATTTCTCTAAGGGTAATTTGACCTTAAAACTAATTTTATAATCTCATATAATTCTCAAAGGATATTATCCTTATTTTTCCCTCAATTTCTATGACTTAGAATATTTTTCCCATAATTATTCTTGACCAATTTTCTTTAATTAGTCAAACTTTTCATAATTGGCTTGGAAAATCATAATAATTATTTTCCACCAAAATCCTTCTATTTCTCCTTATTATTTTTGACCCTCAATTATTTAGGAATATTCCTTATTTTGAATTATCATAATACTGGATGTGACACTATGCAGCTAACCTCACTTAGTGAGATAAGGTTTGTTGTTATTGTTCTTTTGTTAAATTCTTATACCTAGACCTCTAAATTTGTATTCACTGGGTGATACATTCTCTTATATACACATAAAATTTTGCGTTCTCCAAGTGCTAACTACTCAAACTTTGACGTGTGTATATGCGTTCTTTGAATGTTGAATTCAACATAAAACATTTTTTATTTGAGTTAAAAGGTCATTGTGAAAATTCGCTTTGTGATTGTGCTAAATTATCTTACCATCACCATTAAATTTCCGTTGTTTCACTTTTAAATATTTTGGCGGAAAAAAGCTTGCATAAAATTTTACTTTTTTAAACATTGGGAAGTCCCTAACGATGATGGCACCAGATCTGGAAAAGTCGCTGGCAGTGGTGGCGCTACTATTGCCGGTGATGGCACCGAGGAAGGGATGATGGAATTTTTTTTCAAAAAATGATTACAGGGAATTTTAATCCATATATATATTATTTTGTTTATTCAAAAGGATTAAGGTTTTTTTAATTAATTTTAAAAATTTAAGATCCTTCTTAATAATACCTTCGTATATTCATATAAAACCTACTTAACTAATTTGACTACATTAAAAAAATTAATTAAATTAGTTATTTGTAATGAATATGAACTGATTTTCCAAATATCTTTTTCAATCGTAATTGCTCTTGGAAGAAAACACTATTAATATGTGTAAATCAATAAAGATAATTTAAAAAAATAAAATTATAAATTTAGAAAATAAAATAGATTGAAATCTTATATTCAGAAATAAATTTAATAGTAAACTAGCACTTCAGTTGAGAAAGAATAGGAGTTAGTAATATATAAGTTTCCATTGAATGAGAAAAATAGAAAAAGGTGCATAAAATTTTTTTTATGCATGTCCAAAAAAAGACATAATGTAGGTAGTACATATGTGTGTGTCGATGGCGTAGCTGAATCACTCGTCCTTGTCTTCAGCTTCGTTGTAGTTGAAAGGTAGTGGCACAGACTTGAAGGCTCTGAACTTGCCCACATTGTTCAAATGCTCATTCTCCACTCTGCAATTTTGAATTGCGATAATTCACTGCTTTGTCATTTTATCTTTAAAAGAAAATTGGATTCATCCAAACAGTTATTCTATTTCATACCTGAAGAAGTTCCATAAGCCCCGACGTATGATCTCCAGGCTCGCAATAATGCTGATCATAGCTTGTCTATGCAGGAAGTTAACCTTGAAATCCAGTACTGTCTGCAACCATGCAAATCTCAGCAAGATATTCAGCACCTACAATGGGCAAATTTTGTCAGCAATTCCCAAAAATGCAATGCATAAAGAAAATGAAAATTATTTCAAATTCTGCTTGAAGATTTCTATGTTAATTTTCATACCATGGCTGTGAAATATACACTTTTGTGAGGTATTGCAAGTTTGTCTCTTAACCAGCGATTCTTGGATTTCTTTTGCAGGAGGCCCCAATCTATGACAAGGTCCCAATATGTAGAAACGATTGCTGCAGATATTGAGAACACCCAGGCAAGCACCTTCCAAGTGATCCTTTTATCAAGGTTGTAAGCTGTTCTGAGGCAAACAGCTACTATTGTGAGGAAATATTTCACCCCGTTGTATCCTTGCATTGCATCCTTCTCTTCAAATAATCGCCTGAGGCACTATTGAAAAAACAGGAAGATCATTTGGGAGCTAGTAAGCATCAACACTGGCATTGCGAGCAACAGAATTGGAATGAAGTGTTTGAGACGAGATAGTTGGAACCTGAAGCAAACGACACCAGTATGGAATGACAGCAACAATGAAGGAAAATGTTTTGAATATGCTGCTTGAGCTGCAAGTGTTTTGTCTATGCTTGAAATCTCCCCAACCGTAGTAGCAAATGTAGAACTCTAAGCTTCTTAGAGCTTGCACCTGGATGCATCAAAAGGAATCAAATGGGATATGTAAAGTGCTAGGACGCTACGATATCATTCTTATTTCTAATTTATAACGAACCTGGCTAGTGAATTGATCCGCCAAAAAGAAATCTGGAAGCGTGACCTAAGGAAAATTGGAAATGGCATAAGTTCGATTTCCAGAGAAGAAAAGAGTTTAGTTAGCAGGAGTCTTCGCTAATTTAGTGTTCCACCACAGTACCTTGTAGAGAGGAGCGCAGATACAGTGGAACAGGCATGTGAGAAAGAAAAGCCGGCTTGAACGATACATGATGTTGAATGGGCATGATAAAATGGCAATCACAATCTGCAGAGGAAGAAATGGAGTCATCATGTAAGTTTAGAAGCCAAATGAAGATCCAATGGATTCTCTGAAGTGTAATGGTCTTACAAGGACCAAGATCAGAGGAATAAGTTCTGTGAAGGCTTTGTAATCTTTTGACATTGGATCCATCTCCATGTCAAGGTTCGCAAGTACACTGGCTAGTGCCACAGTTGCAAGGACAAAAGCTAGGAGGAGAACATCAAGGCAGCTCAACTCAGATCCTCTCTTGAAACCAAAAATGAATGACCGATTCACTTTGTATCGCCTCCAGAAGTATATATCAGCAGCATACATAAGTATGTGCAGAACTACGAATCCAAACAAACTGCGGGAAATGTTTTGTAAACGGTAATGCATACGTGTAAGTTTTTGTTCATTGGATTGAGCAATGAGCTTTTGAAATAACATCTCGTTAAATTGTATTTTGTACAAGGTTACCTATAAAGAGGAAACATGGTTTCCATGTACTGAGTACTCCCTTTGTGATTCATAATTTTGCGGGCACGGATGATCAGAATAAGTGATAAAACTAGTGCTGCTGTGCAGCCCGCCATAAAACCTGAAAATTTGAACAGAAGAAAATGACGGGGCAAAGAAATCAAAGACTAAATACGTACTTGTACTGAAAATTCTTTTGACCTATGGCAAATCCTGATTCCTACCTGTGGAAAATGTTATTCTATGCTTTGCTCTAGTTGGTTTTGGTCTGAGAAGGTTCAATCCATTATCACGATTGGAGTTGGAGAAATGCTTGATGAATGTTTTTTCAACCTTCTCCATAAGCCTGGTGACCTGCATAGGAAAGTTGAGGAATTATAACTCATAAGTAGGTTAAAGTTTTCTAAATTTTGTTGACAAGCTTTGGAATATGTTGATGTTGAATTTTAATGGTTTTCTTTCCCTGTAAAAGTCTCACCTCATCAGAGCTGCCCAGGAAGGAGTTATCAACCATACTCACGTAAGCTTTTGCTGCGCTTCTTGATGTAATCTGCAGCGTATAATGAAAGGTGAGGGGCGAATTAAATTTCCTGGGTTGTCTTCTGTGCCAGCATGTAGTTTTAGAAAGATGAGGAGTACCTTGTCATATTTCTTCATTATCTTTGAAAATGCCAGTGTGTTCAGAAAGCTGCTTAATTAACAAGTACACAGTTGAAGACGAGATTAAATGTGAAGGGATCTAGTTGGTGAAATAAAGGGAAAAGAGAATGCCAAAGAGTAGGGTATAACCTGTAGTTCCTTAGAAGTCGAAGCTTTTGGTAGAATTCAATGAAAGCTTTTGTGAGTTGTTCTTCAATTTTCTTCAGATTCTTTCTGTTGAATTGTAGCTCTTTCTGTGCAGAGTAATTGAGGAAGCCTTTTATGGTTGAGCGAGGAGTCTCAAGACTGTTGTTGAATCGAACATGATTAAGGACTTCCAGAGGAGCTGGTCTGGTGCGTCTGTTATCTTTTTCTTTATCTGTCTGGAACTTCTTGTCACTTACTTGAATTTCATCATCTTTGTCCTCGTTAGAGTCATCTGATTGACCATGGCGGATGCTATCCTCATTGATCGCCTCCATGCCCAGGGAAACTCTTCCTGTTGATGAAGCTGAAGAACATTGAAATCAGTTAAGTAAGCTTCCATGCTCTAAGATGATCAAGCCAATAAAAAGATCTTTCCTTAATTCCTTCTTATCATAACTAGTGATGTTGCTACAATTGGATTGGACCAATTGTCTTCTCAAATCATGCGTTAGAACTGATAAAATCAGTCAAGAGTTGATAAAACAAGTCTTCTATTTTTTGTGATAAATTTTCATATATAAAATTAATCATATACTTGCTCTCCGTTAATATATGTGTCATTTAATCGATTTAAGTTTATCGAGAAATTAGTTAAAATTAATTTAAAATAATAAATATATAAGGCATGTATTTTTCCCCCCCATAAATATGCTCTTATTGACTAAGAAAGTAAGTAAAAAAAGCAATAAATAAAAAAAAAGAGGAAAGAGAATATACGGAGGTAAATGTAATGTTAGAGAGAATGTGTTAGGGATAGAATTAGAAGTAAAAAAAACTATGAGACTACACTGAAATCTATTTTATAAAAAAAAAAAAAATTCTCCAACAAAATATATCTTATATTTTTTGAATGGGAGGGGGAGTCAATTTAATCACGCCAATTAACTTTGAGTTAGTACCTACAGATCTGATTTTGAAAACATCGTCAGCTAGCATGTCACTAAATTTTACGAATTTAAGACACTTGTTGGCTACGAAATACTACTACTTGAAGACATAGAAGGATAGATTGCAAGTTATTGTGAAACCAAGATGTTAAAAAAAGCTTACTGTGCAATTTGGCCCCTCTGGGCGTAGAAGATGATAATGCAGCTGCTGAACTAGCAACATCTGAAGCAAGATGAGTCATCTCTACAGAGCTGTTGAACCATTGGGAGGGTTTCTCAACTTTTATCCGGAAAGCAATCAAAGCTTCCATTTGCTTATTTAACATAGCAGCTTCCTTCATCACTTCTTCCACTTTAGACCTATAAAACTTGTCCACTTTGTTAAACTCATCATCTAGCCTCCTAAAGAATACCAATTCATATTCTCCACCTTCTTCAGCAGCCTTCAGAAATGTAGTTTGGTAGCCCTCAGATCCATCACTGAGCACTGAGTTCACCATAATGGGTTGGCTCTCAACATCCTGCTCTGAGGGGCTGATGGATTGGGGGGGATGTCTCTGAATGAGTCCACTGAAAGCCCTGTACAGAGTTAGCTTTCTCTTTAGGCCTCCCGGAGTTGCAGGTGGCTTGTTTCTCTGCTTGTGGCGTTGGACATCTTTCAAAAGGGTCTTCAAGTAATTATAATCCATATATGTTTCCTTCCATTCTGGCACTATTTGTGCTTCAAATTCTTTCCCAAACTTCATCTTTTGCCTTTCTAAGCGAAGCAAACTTTTTAATATGTGATAATAATTTACTGGCTTTTGCAGAAAACAGACTGAGCTCAGGAAGCAGAGTTAGAATGGAAAGGAAATACTGGATGGTCAAATGTAAAGCCTTGTGAAGACAGTTTCTGAAAGGAAGATTACTTGTATGAATAGCTTCACCAGAGTAATAAAAGAAGATTCTTTCTGATCACGCAGTTCAGGTAGACGAGCTGTCATGGGACGGAGAGCAATGAGCAAACTTTCATAGCCAATGAGAGTTAAAGGATAAGTTTGACAAGGCAGAAAGATAAAAAGGAAAAGTTCTACTCACATTTATCATTACTGGAGAATCTTAATGTAACAGCTGCATCTCAAGTTGATTACAGGCGAAGTTCAAGAGTCGTGTGATCAAAAGCAACAAGCTATAATGGTTTTTATATGAACAATATTCCACCCCTTCCAAGTAATCTGTGGGAGAACGTCAAAGTTTTGGTTCTCTGATTGTGGTGGACTTCCTCAGTCTTTTGTCCTCAATGAATGCGAGCAAACGCTTTGGAAATTATGAAATCTTGAGTCAGTAAAGTAGAACCTATTGTTCAAAGCATTCACAAGTCCAAATTCATTGTGTCTGTATTGAAGAAATTTGATAACGAAACAAAACGGTCAAATTAAAATATCTCAACTTGGAACGAACTAGCCATCACAAATCATTTGATTCACTATGAGTTAGTAAGAAATTAATGAAAATAATTGAAAATAACAAATAATAATAGTTTAGTATTGATAAATTAGTTATTTTGTAATAAATGTGTGTTTGTTTCTCTGAAATACTTTCATAGCTGGTTTCAAAAAAAGTTTATAAATTAGGAATGCTTACTTTATATTTGATTATAATTAATTTCTTATGCCCTCGTGTATATGGGGGGGGTGTAATGGTAATTAAATCAATTATTAGTTTTTATGTCCTTCAATTCATCACATGTTTGCACCTTGCGAATCATTTTAGAATGGCAATATTGTTGAAATAGTACATAAGACCGGTAATTTCAGTTGGATTTATTTTGATGAATCGTATTTAGGTCAGACTTATTTAAGAAAAAACTCAAACAATGAAACCTGACTTTAATAATTTAGGTCGAGTTGGCTAAAAGCTCAAATTATTAAGGCCTTTTTTATTTTTGAAATACTTCATTTTCATTTAATGATAACCACTAATTAATTTTATAAACATTTTCAATATAATAATATTATAAGACGGTAAAGAAGAGAAACCCTAATAATCATTGATAATATTATTCAAGCTAATTGAAAGAATAAAGGGGAATATGAACGAGTCTCTGCACAAATTGGTCACCAAAAAAGAAAATTAAGTTAAAATAATGGGATTATGAAAATCAAAATATCCAAAAGAACGTCCAAAAACATTCCTAAATAGTGAATAGTCAATATTGGAATGGTCTAAATGTGATGACCAAGTCAATTTAATTCTGCCCGACTGCCCCTACCTCCATAGAGGGGGGCAGATGATGCCCTGGCAAGCCTATCTTTTGTACGGACCTTTCTGGTTTGAGAGGAAGGTGGGGCGACGGGATAAAGGCGGGCAGGTGAGGATGGGAACAGGAAGGTTTTAGCCTTATCTAAAAGGGGGGATATTTGAAGAAGGGAGAGATAGCAAACTTAATTTATCATTTTATATTTATATATTATATAAATTAATTTACATCTTAATTCAATTTACTTAATTCAACAAATATTCGGTTTTTTCATATTAATATGTGTATTTAAAAATTAGTATCATAATTTTTTTACTTTAATTAATATAATAATACATTCAAATAATTGAATTAAAAAATTTTATGTGTTCTGAAAAAATGAAATTTTTTCGGTTATGTTTTTTCTTTCCATTTTTTAAATATATTTTAATCAATAAAATAATATATTTGTAAAAATTAACTAATTTATAATTTAATATGATTTTTCATTGTAATAATTTTTTTGCTTTAAATTGATTTTTATTAAAATATATTCTTTTAATTATACTTTTATATTTTTTTATTTGAAATAAATTTTACAATAATATATTTTATGGGTATTAATGAAATATTACCAAAAAAATTATAAAGACAAAATGGTCAAAAAGTTTAGCTCCCTTCCCCAAAAAAAAAAATCAATTTCAAAGAGTTAAAATGAGGATAGGGAAGAGAAGGAGATATTTTGGTTTTTCACCATTCTAAAATTTCTAACCAAACCAGAGGAAATGAGTTTATTTTTCCTCCCCTCCAACTAAACAAGCTGTCGGCTCTTGTTTTTTTCCTTGAATGTAATAGTCGTGGGCCAACTCCTTTTTCTGCCTTAAATAAGAAAATGGCGCAATGAATGTGCAGTGTACGCCCATCTGTGGGTTGGTACAAAATCAATGTCGATGATGCTATGGCGAAAAATTCACAACAGGCTGGACGTGGAGCGGTGGAGGAGTAATAGAGAATGCTAGTGGGAGCTGGATTTTTGGTTTTACTCATAACATCGGGATCTGTAGTGCTCATGAGGCTGAGGAATGGACCATTTACAAGGGCCTAATCTTCACCTGACAATGAGGATTCAGACAGGTTATGAATGACTCGGATGCTAATAATGTTATTGATTTCTTGACAAAAGAGCATCTTTGACAATACAGCTTCTACTCCTCCGTTTCTTATTATAAGATCTTTTTAATTAGACTACGTGGTTTAAGAAAATAATTATAATTAGTTAAAAGCAATTAATATGTAGCAAATACAATTTTTTTTCAAATATACTCCTAAATATAAATGGGTAGACATGGGAGAATAATAGTAAGATAAATGAGGAAAGATAATGTATTAAATGTATTAAACTAGTGATAAAATAGGTAATAATACATTAAATGTTCAAATAAACTCAAAAGAGATCTTATAAAAAGAAACAAACATATTTAAAAAATTAGATCTTATAATAAGGAACGGAAGGAGTAGCTTGGTATTTAAACAAATCCAGAGTTTGCTCAAGTATGACTGGGAAGTGAAACTTCAGAAAGTTCCCGGTGACTGTAACGGAGTTGCTGACGCATTTGGCAAAGAAAGGGATGGCTGAGTTCTTATTGTTTGATGTTTGCCCATTTGATCTTCAGGCAATTGTGGAAACAGAGTTTGGGAATTAGTCCCCATCCTATTTAATTTCTGTTTTTGCATTTTGTTAAAAATACTTTAGTATTTGTTATGATAATGGTTTTTCCTAAGCACAAGTATATTCTTGTGTAAAATAATCTTATTCAGGATACATTTAGGTACTAAATATTAGTACTTTTTTAGCGGGAATTTAAATCATCAGGAACTAACTCTTTTGTTAGGCCATTGAATTTTGGGTAACGAAGTGTTATGATCCTCTATGGGCCCTTCCTCATAAAAGACTGTGCATGAAATGGGCCAGTATGAGGGAGAAGTAGGCCCAAGCCCAGCTAAGTGAATAAACTCTCTGAGAAGCCTAATATTACTGCATCCGTCGCGCTCATGCTCTCACTAACCCCAGATTGTTAACCCTCCGTCGCGTTTGGTACGTGGGAGTCAGAGAAATGTTATTTTGGCGCGCTGCAAGCCCATTTCCAAGGGACTTGACTTCCATTGGACCATTTCTGCCCTTGGCAAACGTGAGAATGGAGAGGGCGGCAGAGAAGGGGGCGAGGCAGTGGTTAAGATAGCCGTGACGCTGGGGGGCGACATTGAGGATATACAGAACTTTTAGGATTGGTTTTAAACACGACCAGCTTCACATAAAATGATTAGACACAGTAAATGGGTTTATGCAAATCAATAGACTTGAATAAGTTCATGAATTTTCATTACACTTTCCCTACTTCTCTACGCTTTGCAATCATCAAACCACAGAGTCGACCGTATATACTTGCGTGACGTTGCATCCGAACTACTCATCCTTGTCTTCAGCATCGTCGTAGTTGAAAGGTAAGGGCACAGACTTGAAAGCTCTGAACTTGCCCACATTGTTTAAATGCTCATTCTCCACTCTGAAATTTTAGATTGCAGCAGTTCACTGCTCAGTCATTTTAACTTTAAAAAATTAGATTACTCCAAACAAATTTTCTGTGTCCTACCTGAAGAAGTTCCATATGCCCCGACGTATGATCTCTAGACTAGCTATAATGCTTATCATTGCTTGTTTATGCAGGAAGTCAACCTTGAAATCCAGTACTGTCTGCAACCATGCAAATCTCAGCAAGATATTCAGCACCTGCAATGGTACAATTTGTCAGCAATTCCCAAGAATACAATCCATAGAGAAGATAAAAATGATTTCAAATTCTGCTTGAAGATTTCTGTGTTAAATTCATACCATGGCTGTGAAATATACGCTTTTATGAGGTATTATGAGTTTGTCTCTTAACCAGCGATTCTTGGAATTCTTTTGCAGGAGGCCCCAGTCCATGACAAGGTCCCAATATGTAGAAACGATTGCTGCAGATACTGAGAACACCCAGGCAAGCACCTTCCAAGTGCTTCCTTTATCAAGGCTGTAAGCTGTTCTGAGGCAAACAGCTACTATTGTGAGGAAGTATTTCACCCCATTATATCCTTGCATTGCATCTTTCTCTTCAAAGAGTCGCCTGATGCACTAATCGGAGAAAGAGAAAGATCATTTGGGAGCTAGTAAACATTAAAATTGAACATTGACATTTGACACAACACAATTGAACGAATCCGGTTGTGGTTGATGTGTTGCACTGTGTTTGCTCAACAGGTATAAAGGGTTTTTCTTAGAAGCGTCCTTGCTTCCTAGTTTGAAGGTCAATAGAAGGACATTCTGCCATCTTCTGTCTTTTCGAAGCTCAGACTAGCATGGTGTGAAGCGTTGGAGGAGAGAGAGTTGGTACCTGGAGAAAACGACACCAGTATGGAATCGCGGCAACAATGAAGGAAAATGTTGTGAATATGCTGCTTGAGTTGCAAGTGTTTTCTCTTTGCTTGAAATCTCCCCAACCATAGTAGCAAATGTAGAATTCTAAACTTCGGAGAGCTTGCACCTGGATGCATAGAAAGGAATGAAATGAGTTATGTGAAATGCTGGGGCGCTATCATATCATTTTTATTTCTCACGAACCTGGCTAGTAAATTGATCCGCCAAAAAGAAATCTGGGAGCGAGACCTAAGGAGCATTGGAAATGGCATAAGTCAGATTTCTAGTGAAGATTAGAGTTTAATAAGTGGGAGCCTTTTCTAATTATATGTGTGTTCCGCTATATTCTTTACCTTGTAGAGAGGAGCGCAGATGCAGTGGAACAGGCATGTGAGAAAGAAAACCCGGCCAGAACGATACATGATGTTGAATGGGCATGATAAAATGGCAACCATAATCTGCAAAGGAAGAAATGAATCCATAATGTGAGTTTGGAAGCTAAACGAAGATCCAATGAATTCTGTGGAAGTTTAATTGTCTTACAATAACCAAGATAAGAGGAATTAGTTCAGTGTAGGCTTTGTAATCCCTTGTCTTTGGATCCATCTCCATGTCGAGGTTCGCAAGCACACCGGCTAGTGCCAATACAGCAATGGCAAAAGCTAGGAGGAGAGCATCAAGGTGGCTCAAGTCGGATCCTTTCTTGAAACCAAAAATAAATGTCTGATTCACTCTGTATCGCCTCCAGAAGAATATATTGGCACCATACATAAACATGTGTAGAACTATGAATCCAAACAAACTGCAGGAAATGTTTTTCACATGTTAAATAATACGTGTAAGTTTTAGTTCGTTGGACGAAACTATGGGCTTTTGAAACCAAATCTCAGCACTTTTATTTTGAATAATAAGGTTACCTATAAAGAGGAAACATGGTCTCCATGTACTTAGTACTCCCTGGGTGATTCAGAATTTTGCGAGCATGGATGACCAGAGTAACTGCTAAAACTAGTGCTGCTGTGCAGCCAGCCAAAAAGCCTAAAAATTTGAACAAAGGAAAATGTCAGGGGAAAGATAACATAGACTATATATGTACCTGTGCCGAAAATTGTTGAACCACAGTAAATCTTGATTCTTACCCGTGGAAAATGTTATTCTATGGCTTGCTCTACTTTGTTTTGGTCTGAGGAGGTTCAATCCATAATCACGATTAGAGTTGGAGAAATGCTTAATAAATGTTTTTTCCACCCTCTCCATGAGCCTGGTGACCTGTATAGGAAAGTTGAACAATTAAAACCGGTAAGGAACTAAGGATGTTAAAAGTTCGCTAATTTTTATTAAAATGTTTTGGAATATGATGATATTGAGTTTGATGGTTTTCCCTATAAAGGTCCCACCTCGTCGGAGCTGCCGAGGTAGGATTTGTCAACCATGCTCACATAAGCTTTTGCTGCTCTTCTTGATGTAATCTGCGATATGGAGTGAAAGAAGGTGAGGGGCTACTTAAGTTTCTTGGTTGTCTTCCGTGCCAGTAGTTTTAGAAATGGGAGGAGTACCTTGTCATATTTCTTCATTATCTTTGAAAATGCCAACGTGTTTAGAAAGCTGCTTAATTAACAAGAACACAGATGATTATGAAGAAGAAATATGAAAGAAACAATACTTGGCGAGGTTACAAAAGAGAATGCCAGCAAATATAACCTGTAGTTCTTTAGTAGTCGAAGCTTTTGGTAGAATTCAATGAAAGCTCGTTTGAGTTGTTCTTCAACTTTCTTCAAATTCTTTCTGTTGAATTGTAGCTCTGTTTGTGTAGAGTGATTGAGGAAGTTTTTTATCGTTGAGCGAGGAGTCTCAAGGGTGTTGTTCAATCGAACATGATTGAGGACTTCCAAAGGGGCTGGTTTGGTACCCCTGTTATCTTTTTCCTTATCTGTTTGAATTTTTAGGCGATTGAGTTGAATTTCATCATCTTTGTTCTCAGTGGAGTCATCTGATTGACTATTGTGGATACTTTCCTCATTGATCGTCTCCATGGCTATGAAATTAGGAAGTTGAGGAATATTAAATCAGTTCACTACACTTCCATGACCGTTCTGCGAGCTCAAGTTAATCTTTAAGATGATCAAGCAGTTGAATTGATCCTGGCTTTTATCCTAACTAGCAATGTTAATAAAGGCTTACCGTGCAATTTGGCTCCTCTGGGCGTAGAAGATGATAATGCAGCTGCTGAAGTGGCAATATCTGAAGCAAGATTAGTCATCTCGACAGAGCTATTAAACCATTGAGAGGGTTTCTCAACTTTTATCCGGAAAGCAATCAAAGCTTCCATTTGCTTATTCAGCATGACAGCTTCCTTCATCACTTCTTCCACTTTAGACCTGTAAAACTTGTCCACTTTGTTGAACTCATCATCTAGCCTCTTAAAGTATACCAACTCATATTCTCCACCTTCTTCTGCAGCCATCAGAAAAGTAGTTTTATAGCTTTCAGATCCATCTCGTTGCACTGAGTTCACCATAATGGGTTGGCTCTCAATATCATGTTCATGGGGATTGATGGAATGGTAGGATTGTCTCTGAATGAGTCCACTGAAAGCTCTGTACAGTGTTGGCTTTCTCTTTAGGCCCCTTGGAGTTGCAGGTGGTGGCTTGGTTCTCTGCTTGTAGCGTTGGACATCTTTCAAAAGGGTCTTCAAGTAATTATAATCCATGTATGCTTCCTTCCATTCTGGCACCATTTGTGCCTCAAATTCTTTCCCAAACTTCATCTTTTGGCCTTTCTAAGCAACAAGAACTATTTGATAGTTGATAACAATTCACTGGCTCTTGCAGAAAACAGACTGATCACAGAAAGTAGAGTAAGAAGGGAAAAGAAGTGTTGGATGATTAAGCTCAAAAGCCCTGTGAACAAAGTTTCTGAAAGGATGATTATTTATATCCATAGCTTCACCACAGAAACAAAAGAAGACTCTTTTAGATCATGTTTGCAAGTTGAAAGTTCAGATAAAGAATCTGTCATAGAGCAGAAAGCAACAGACATATTTTCAGAAACAATGAGAAGTAAGAGTTGAGCTCTACTAAAGTTTGTTAAACGCGTAATCAAAAGCAAGTTGAATATATCTAATCAATATAATGGTTTTTATTTAAGCAATATCGTACCCCTTCTTTACAAGAAGCTGCATGAATCCCAGCCAAAAGAACACAACTTGTTTTCATTCATTGATTAATTCATGATTGGTCGATGGTTCCGAGTTGAAGGTTTTCTTGGCTCATTAAAATAAACAGGTCGGCGATTTGATTATAATTTAAAAATTGAAGATTAGTATCCTTTAATTATATTATTAGGCAACACGCTTTGACTTCAATTATCCAACAATCTCACTGAACATTTAATAATAAAAACGAGACAAATAAACTTTCATGACTGCAACAAAATTATTTATAGTGCAATGTGCATGCGCACACACAAAACTCCCTCTCTCTTTCTCTGTGTGAAAGTCATACCAATCTCTTTCAGATTCTATATACAAAAGTGAGGATGGGGTAAGTAGTATTCATATAAAATTTATAAGACTTGGTCACCCTATTCAGAAACAAGTGTGCATGTAGTTGGAGATCATTGCCAGGCAGGTAGGCAGGTCAAGATCTCTATGAACAAGTTATCGAGCCAGAAATGTGGGAGGGATTTGCCAATCCAACTCAACAAATGGACCAGGAATGAATTCAATGGGGGAAAAAAGGTCCCAGGACATTTTACTATACGCTACTGATCTTTCTCTTCTTTTTTTTCATATGAATTAGAATGCATCTATTTTTTTTTTGGAGAAAATTAATTTTTTGATACCTATATTTTTAACCTAATTGTAACTTAAATTATAAACTTTGACTCAGTTTCTATAATTTTAATTTGGTTATAATTTAGTTTGTAAACTTTAACTTGGTGTAACTTAATTCCTATGGTTTTAACGATTTAAGCTTAGTCTCTAAATTTCATAAAATATATAATTCTCTTTTTTAAAATATAAGAGCAAATATTTTAAATAATTAAACCATAGGAACTAAAAGGGTGTCTGGATAGTACCAAAAGTGCTTCAGAAAAACACTTTTTTGTAAATCGAGATAAACTCCTTCACATATTTATTTCGTATACCGTAAAAACACTTTTAAAACCATAGTTTTGATTCTATCCAAATACTCTTTAAGTTGCAATGAGTTAAAGTTTAAGAACTGAGTTATAGTTAAATCAAAATTATAAGGATTTGGTTGTCCTATTAAAAATTGAATTATACTTAGTCAAAATTATAAGAAAAAAATTAATTTTTTCTTATTGTTTTTGTACAAATAAGCTAATTATATTGCCTACGTTTTTATCCTCCGCCACCATTCGCTATCGAGGGTGGGGAATGATGAAAATTTCAAATTTGTGTACTGCTTGTGGCCGTTCTCTTCGTATATTTTATTTTGACACGCTGTTTGTTTAAAATAAGAGAATAAAAGTGATTTTAATTGATTAAATAAAAGGGTTTTTTTACCTAAAAATAAAAGGGGTTGTCGCCTTATTAAAGTAAAGGTGGGAATGCGTTGAAGATAATCTATTTTTATTTAATAGTTTATTATGTTTAACAAATCTCCACATTTTTATTCCAAGGTTCTTCCAACAACTCTTTTACATTTAATTAATCACTTTTTTTTTAATTTCAAATAAATTAGATCCCGTTTAGTACGAAATATTAAAAATGAAGAATAGTGATTGAAATTGAAAGTATAAAACTATATTAAAAAAGTATTTTGTATGAGTAATTATATGATATTTGGGATTAGACAAATCTATATATATGGGATTGGGGAATACCATGAGGGTATGTGGTATTCTTCAATCTTATCTATATGGGATTGCTTAATCCCACACGATAAAAAATCACTCATGATAAGTATCCTTTTAACATATATTTTCAACTCCAATCTCAATTTTTATCTCTCATTTTTAATACTCCGTACCAAATATAATTTTAAAGCTTAGCATTTAATAAGAATGTTCATGGAATAAGAGGGGATTAGAACAATTCTATCCCGAAATCTCCCTAACCTATTCCAGTCAGAATGAAACAAGATAAGGATGTGCAGTCTATGTTTTTTTCAGTCTTCTTTTTTTTTTTTAAAGCCAATTGTACATGTAACATAAGAACGAATAAAAACTGTATATAAAGAAAATAGATAATACTTCTCCTGCTCTTAATATAAGACCTATTTAATTAATTTAATTATATTAAAAAAGTTAAATAAATTAGTTAATTATAAAAAATATGATATGTTTTTCTTAAAATACTATAATCATCTTTTTTAATATCCCCTCCATTTTCTATTTGATTATGATTGAAGGAGTATCTATAAAAGTAATTTAGAAAAAATTAATAAATATGAGAAATAGATCTTATATTTAAAATCAAAATCAACTTAATAATTAGGTCTTATATTAATGACCAAAGGAGTATATGAATAAATTAAAAACTTTATATACATGTTTTGTTTTAAAATTTGCTTCTTCAATATTGTACTAGCAACTTGTTTGATATGAAATTTTTTTAGCTCCGTTAAATAACAACCTGTTTTACTCCCGTATAAATTATTTTAGAATTTATCACCTTTTGTAAATTAAAATTTTAGACAACAAAAGTTATACTCTTTTCCTTTATTATTCTGCATACAAAAGATATAAACAGTTTGTTTTATTTTAAAATATAAACTACTTTTTCGATTTAAAAATTTGTTATTTTCATACGTACAAAAAAAATATAAATTGATTATCATATACATATGAAAAGGGTTAATACAATGTTTTTTTTTTTTGCCGGAGTAACGTTAATACAATATTCCTCATTTTTTTAAAATGTTATTTCCTATATCTTAATAAATATTTGAATCATTTTACCCCTTAAAACCAATATATATGATTTTCAATTATGCGGACCAAGCCACTGCCACGGGAAAAAAAAAATTATAGAATCCAAGACCAAAATAAAAATAAATTATAAGGACTAAAAAGTGTATTGATCCCAAAAAAAATTATTTTATTTTAAACTTGTTACTCTATGTGAGAATATATATAAACAATAACTTCTCTACCAAAAAAATATATATATAAAACAATAACTTATCTTTTTGTTTTTAGAGAAAAAAACAATAACTCGCCTTTACTTTCACATAAATCATTTCACAATTTGATAACAGAGACCATGCACAAAGTGACAAATTCTAAAATGAAGTTGGACTCCTTTATGTAATTGTAATTAGATATATATATATATATATATATATAAAACTTTTAGCGATTATATTCCTCATATATATAGTGATTTTCTTTTTTTAAAAAAATGTATCATTGCTTTTACTGTTTAAGAATGTACAGTAACCCCATGTAATTTACACAAACAGAAAGGAGAGAGAAAAAGAATAAGATTGATGGTTGCGAGTAAAAATCAATCAAGTATCAATATATTAGTGCGTCGACGTCGGATCCGAATCACTCATCGTTGTCTTCAGCTTCGTCGTGGTTGAAAGGTAGTGGCACACACTTGAAAGCTCTGAACTTTCCCACGTTGTTCAAATGCTCATTCTCCACTCTGCAATTTTGAATTGCAGCAATTCACTCGCTGCTTAGTCATCTTAAGAAAAATTTGGATAACTCCAAACGACTATTCTCTTTCTTACCTGAAGAAGCTCCACATGCCCCGCCGAATGATCTCTAGACTCGCTATTATGCTAACCATTGCTTGTTTATGCAGGAAGTTAACCTCAAAATCCAATACTGTCTCCAACCACGCAAATCTCAGCAAGATATTCAGCACCTGCAATGGTAGAATTTGTCAGCAATTCCAAAAATGTAAA